GACTAACATCTTTATAGCCTAAAAGGGCTTAAATCCACTGTTTTTTACATTTTCATTGAATGTGTACACACTTAAAGGCCTTTTAATAGCTAGAATTAAATATATTTACCTTTATAAAGCCATGTAACATGAAAAAAATCATGCTTTTATACCCGTATAAGCAATTTACATGTAAAGGTCTGGGTGGGAAGTGTCCCGGAGTTTTGTGGCTGTCCCGGAATTTTGTGGTCAACTAAGTGGCTGGCCCACTTAGTTGTCAACGGGTATAGGTTTTGGACCAGTCGACGTATGGTCATTTGGACAAGGGGTCGGCGACCGCTGTAGCGCCTCCACGGGCCGCTAAGGCCAGGCCTTACGCCCTGATCTTGCACCTAGCTGAGACACGCAAACGTTAAAATGGTATTCGGGTCCAACTTCGTACGTTACAACCGCCACGTGTCGGCAGCGACTCTAACTGGAAATGGTCCATTACCGAGCCTAAACAGTTTTTCCAGGAAATGTGGGTGCTGGGCGTATAGGAGTGACAAGATCCTGCCTGCGCCTTGGCGGATTGAGTGTCCGTTTTGGTCGACGGTAAAGCCATATGGCCCATGTCCACCGCCACCCCTCTTGGAGAGTGAGCCGTTTGATCTGCGATCTTGTAATTGCGATTTCGTATCGTAAAGAGGTCTGTTCATCACAGGACCTGTACGGCTGTACTGGGTTCCAGATCTACGATTTTCCATCCGTGTTGTTGCGGTCAAGATCCTTGATCTTTTTATTCCGATCCAATATATGGCCAAGGGAATTGACTGTCAAGTCTAGTTCATATGCTACAAAGTTTTTATTTAGAGGCGCAAAAATGTCAGTATCATGGGAATCACTTCTACATCATGGTCGAAGGTTCCTTAGTAGGCGAGGTGGATAGCAACAAGTTCTTCGATTCTAGGTCGTACATCGAGGTATATCTAGAGGGAAATTCAAGAGCTTGCCCGCTTGAAGGCAGGTTGCAATGAGTACACGCTGGGTTTCCACTTCGCGACAATTCGAAAATGCACCGTACCAGTGTAGGCAGTCAACCAAATTGGTTGTTCAATGTTAGCCGACCGCTATCCTTGACCAGAAGCGAGAAGTGCAGCCCACCAATGATATTTATCACTAGTATTTTAAGGTTAATTATAAGACTATTCTTGGTAATGCTCAGGTTTAATCGCCTCAACCACCCCCTTCAACAGGATGCTCGACAACCGTCCACTCACAGCACTTTCTCAAGTTGGGCAAGTGCAAGCGCCTGACAGCCCTCGCAGGCGACCGAAGCCTCGCAGATATCGACACCCTACTGTATATGGCGACTTGTGTTGATAGCATGCTTTTATGAGGCCGCCTCCCCTCTACTCCTGTTCCCTCCCGCTTTTCCTCATCGACATCGTCCCCCCTGCCGCGGGGGGCTTTATACGTCTTTCTTTTAACAGAATGCACATCGCACAGGCTCTCATGTGCCTGGATACGCCGAAAAAGAAAACCCCTTCAGACTCCTTCCGCGGAGGGAGAACCGAAGGCTTGAACAAGGCAAGCAAGGATTTGATAGGTCACGGGTCCAAAAAGCCGCTTGAACCATGGACGTTGCCGACTGGGACAGTATTGCTGCGCTTGCAGAAGCGTGTCGAAAAAGCAATACAGCCAGCTTTTGCTTCGGCCATGCCCGCGGCTGGGGCGGATGCTAATAAGGCGAATTAGAGCACTCGAGATTGGCAGGCGAGTCCTATAGAACCAAGGTACATTAATAGAGTTTGGTCGAGATGAAGAGAGAAAGTTTGACCCAGAGAGCCTCCTTTATAGGCTTAATGCCGTGCATGGTGAGCGACGCTTGGGGGGAGTGTACAGAGTACGCTATGTCGTACATAGACGACAGTTTACCAGCATTTGGTCCATATGACCCTCATGGCAAAGAGCTGTGATATAATCGTGACTGCAACATTGACGACTAGACCGGTCGGTCGGGTGTAGGCACAACGTAGGGAGCGCCAACAGTCCGGCGCCGCAACCAGCGTCGACCCTACTAGCACTTCCTTTACTAACCGAGATAGCACGGCAAGTCAACGGATTCCTCTAGATATCGCGCCGCTGGAAGCTATCTAGCCGTTGCCCTGCTCGATCGACTCTCATTGTCCTCGGGTAGCTGCGTCCAACAAACAAACCCATTGAAATCCTCCTGCAGCTTCATATAGCGGGAATGCCCTCCAACTCCGCATAGTGGAGCGCGAGCTTCATGTTCTTTGCAATACACGTGAAGTTGTCGAGGAGCCTCGTCGTTGCTGAGTAAATCTCTTCTGATTGCGAGCCGCGTGTCTGCTGTCGCTTCGACTGTTGAGAGTTTGGCTTCGACATGGATTTGATTCGTCTATCGTAGCGTATGTAAAGTAGACAAAGTCCTTGAAAAAGAAACTAGGCCATCCGCATTAAAGTCGGAGCCACAGTAAAAGAGGACGCCACCATTGCGCTTGAAACTCCCATCTGCCTTCTCAAAGAACCAAACGAGATTCTCATCCTCTTCCGAAACCTTCCAACATAAGGAGGGGTTGTCCATTTTTATAGCTGAGAACATATTCTCAGCTAGGTTACTCAGCCATCCAGACTTGGTAATGGTAAAAGAAGCTATAGTAGCCGGCTTATCTGCAGAAGGTGGAAGGACAATAGCTAAACCTGACATATTCTCGTCATAGTAAGCGGTAAATGGATTTACTTTAAGAAACTCCAGAAAGGCATCAACTGCAGCCTCAGCATCAAGGCTCTTGTGGCTTTTGAGAAGAGCTTCCTTCATCTTGACAAGATTCAATTCAGACAAGGAGGATGTCTTTTGAATAGTATTTCCTCGTCGAATTAAAGTACCAGCACCAGAGTCAGTGAAAAGCTCCTTCTGAAGATCGCTTGGGTGAATAATAGCGACACTAGAGCTTCGTGGTAAGGTATCAAGAAGTTCCTTACTCTCCTTGATCTTAAGACGGGTTCCATATCTGCACCATGGCTGAGACATGAGGTAATTGTACTCCGCATCGAGGTTAATCTGAGATATTTTATTGCCAGCTCCATCGAATAAGCCCCTTTGTTCGGATAAGTAGACCACTTTAAGAGGCTGGGGCTTGAGAGCACGAGCGAGTTCAGCGGCGGCGACATCTGCATTGACATTAAGAAGCCTCCCATTCTCAGACTCGGCCATAGACGTCATGATAGGTATATAACCGGCTTTAAGACTTTGTTCTATAAGCGAGTTAGTAAGTAGTAATAGAATAGAGAGCAGAAGATGGGGTGACTCAACCAATTGCAGTGGTATTCACTGTTTTTATTTTCCCAACGTAGCCTAATTTCTCCTTATCAAGATAATCTGCTATAAAGACGCCATTAAGGGATCTCGTTTTAACGCCAAGCTGGTCAAGCTTATCGGTAAGCTTGAGGCTCTCCTTGAGGAATAGATTGCGGGCAATGCCAAGAGTCTTCCTATCGGTAACACGTATGCCCTCCGAAAATGAAGGGGTCACGTTGGCCTCCTCAAGCAAGCGGTTCAACTGTGGACCGGCCCCATGTACAATTACAGGCAGGAGCCCCAGCTCGAAAAGGAAAGCAAGCTGCGACCCTAGCTCGTCAAGGTGCTCGGATCTACAGCACAAGCATCGTGTGATCATCAGCGTATGAACGGTACGGAAAAGACTTGGAAATAGGCATGACTCATACAGGATAGCACCACCTACTTTCAGCACACAAAAGGTCTGTGCAGAGGTGAAAAGGTGAAGATACTGCTGGGCCTCTCTTTTCTGGCAAATTTATGTTAGTGGTCGGTGTTGGCGCACTCAGGGGATTCGGTGAAGCCCTTCACCCACTTCGAGGAGACCTAAGGAGAAAGGCTCTGGAGAGACTTACAGATCCAATAGACTGTAGCGTCTGGCTCACAATTTCCCTGGTAGCATTCCTGGTTTTAGATGAGTATTGAACGATCGTGGTATTTGGCAATTGGTTGAAATTGCCTTTCATGAGAGTTCGGGAGGGCTTGGGCACGGTATTTGAGAATCGCTTGGCTACGGCTCGTAGTGCTGGCCCGCGGCACGTAGTGAAAGACATGCTTCCGGGGGCTGCTTCAACCCAATTAACTCGTTGGTGGTCGGAGGAGATTGACAAAATTCGATGGTAATAGGCAGAAGGTATTTCTGCTTTCTGCGCAGAGATTGCTCAATGGATACAGAAAGGTATTTCCGCTTTCTGCGCAAATTGCTCAATGGGCAGGAGGTACTTCTGCTTCTACTTTCTGCTTGCTCACTCGGATTTGATGCCAAGAATCACGTGATATTTGGTAGTTAATTGGGTTAAAAAAATAAAAGTGGGCGTTTAAGAAAGGTAATAAGTGGGGTTATACAGGGGAAATGAGGTGCCTACATCACGTGCTCCTTACCGGCCCGCCTCTGAGGACCCGGACGCTTTGCCCACTTAACATCTTGGCTGGGTTAGTCAGCATCTCCCGTTATCCTGATTACAAAAATCACCCTTTCTCCTCTCGTTTCTTCTTAATATCACTGCATCGCCTTTTATCTTCCCTCGCCCACCCTCTCAATGTCAGAGCACCAGCCGCCCGACGATTAGCAGGCAGCTCCGTACGACTTTGTTCGAACCCGACAACCCAATCGATATCGGATCTGATAACTCAACTAACTTGGAATCTGATTTGGGGTCAGACTTGGACAACAAATGCTCAGGTTCAACCAGCGAACTGTCGGACTCGGAAGAAGATGAGGATGAACACAAATACGCACCAACTGTTTGAATGTGCCACCATCACCCACGACGGCACTGTGATCGGAGAGCTCAAATCCTCAAGCATCTGAAGTTTTGCCCTAGTGTCGAGTGCTCATGTCGCCAACTTGACTGTCTTTGGCCTTTGTCGACTTGGCTCTTAAACGCGACTTCACTCGTAAGATTGATTCCAGCGGCGGAAGCAATGGCTCATCTTCCCAGAGCTGGCGATGCACGCGATCATCCGCGGTGGGTTCTTTTGCAAAGCACTCGTGCGCAAATAGCGGCATATTCAGCTCCATCTCTATCGGCAAGATGTTGCTCTTTGCTGTCCGTCGAAGGCAGTCTGTCATTTTTAAGATGTTGCGATGTTTAGAGCTGTGCTTTTGAGCTTCTTTATTTCGGGACCGACATCTAAGGCTTTAGAGCTTATTTATTGCCTAGCTGTCTGTAGAAAATGCCGAGGTGATGTAGAGATACCAGACGTACATATATATCTTGGGGCCATCTCGTTGGGCAGAGGGGCGGGGCCGGAGCATATACTCCGGTGGCATGACGTCCAAATAGGGCAATCCATTGCCATTTCCTTGATTCGATACGTCGACCACCGACATCATGGGCCGGATTGGTTCCTGAACGTGTGTACATGCTATTTTGTAGCCTGTTAGCCAACATGCCCAACGGGAAGCCACCCACATCGGAGCTTGTCTCCACGGAATGTGCTGGAACGATTTGCCCTTTCGAGTTCTTTAGCCGGGGCTTCGTCATAGGATTCGGCAAGGACCTATCAGATCCGCCATCGAACAAGATGTACCTGATTGAAATGACGCCCATCTCATTGTCCGCCCATCTCATTATCTGTGGTCATCGACCGTCGTTGTCCCCGCGTATTTCCCCACCAATACCAACGATGAGCTGATCTTTCCGCGCTTCTGAGTTTTCCACCAGAGAACAAGCTCTTCACGCGAGCCAAGACAATGCATAATCGCCTCTCGCTCCCAAAGAGAGGTTCCGGAAGCCCCACGTCGTGCAGGCTAATGAAAGCCGTGTCTGCTCACACAGAAGCGGATCTAAGAGGCGGCTCATTCCGTCACTTGTAGCGGCTCTTGACGAAGCTACTGGACGGTTTACAAGGCCACGTGGAAGGAGCAGAAACGCCAAGAAGATTACAATACGGGATCATCTTTCGCGCCGTGACAAACCAAGGCTGCTTGCTACACGACGAAATAGCCCTCAAAATATATATGCCTTGACCAAATAGGGCACCGAGATGGACAAAGTGTCTAACTAGAGGAAACCGACAGCGTAGACGGTGGCGGCACATGAAATGATAGTAGGTCGCACACGTGTGCGGGTCGTGCTATTCGTGCTACCAACCCTAGCTATTCGTGCTACTACCGCTCGATTTGTCCTAGTGGTTAACTGCCCACACCCCACCATACATTTTCGCATACACCCACATGGTCGCGCCCGCTTTTCAAAAATTCAATTGGTAGTATTTAAATGCTGGTATTCTCCGTGGCTTGTCTACCTGTTGATCGAGTTTGTGTGCGATTTACAGCGTTTCCTGACCGCGCCCGCGACCGTATTATGAGTCTTCGTCGTCGTTGCGTCTTGAATCGTATTTCGTGATAACTCTCAGGGCAATGTATGTGAAATTATATGGCGGGGCGTGGTAGGTCAGGGTGTAGGCCCAAAATCAAGGTGGGGCATTAGCACGAATAGTTAGGGTTGGTAGCACGAATAGCACGGCCCGTCGCACACTACTCATCCGATAATAGCTCCACTTTAGTTCATATCCCATGGGCTAACCCTGACTCTCAACCCTGACCCCTAATTAACCACTAACCCTAACCGCTAAACTCTTGGGGGGGAGTATCGGGTGAGCACCCGCACCTAATAGTTATCATGTCTTCACGTCCCTCGCATAGACGGCAGAGCCTCCAAGTCAGAGGATTTCAGAAAATATACTTTTCATTGCATTGATTCATCATGCATCTTTTCGACTTGACATGATTAGTTGCCGAGTGGCTTTGTGTACAACACTCGTAGTTCCATCACCGGTGTAATTAGACAAAAACTCCAGGCCTCCGTAGCAAGCTTCCCTTGTAACTCCCCGTTATGAATCCCTACGCCGAGGCATCTAGCTCGTATAACAATGACAACATGCATGAATATTAGGTCAAAATTGAGCCGCCAGTCTCCTTCATTCATAAACCGTCCACCTCCTTCTCCGCCACAGATCGGATAAGACGCTCGTACTTGGACTGTGCCTCTTGTTCCGGGTCTTGAAGCTTTACTGGTAAAGCGGCAACAGTCGCCTTGTTGTTGGATCCGGTGGTCCACAACACGCCTGGTTTTGGTGTGGTGCTGTTATCTGTCTCCGGTTCGGATTTGGGTGTTGGGCTGCTTGCTTTGGAGTCCTCCGCCGCAGGGACAACTTCCTCGGGATCAAAGTCTGCCCGTGGCAGCCGCATGGCAAGCAACACGTACTCGGCTCGCGTCATGTTGTCCATCACATCGTCCATGTAACGGCGAACCTCGTCCTGTGGAGCCACAACGCGTGCCAGGTTCTCCAAATGTCGTCCCGTGGTGGTTTGCAGGCGGATCGTAACAGGCTGGTAGTAGTCGAGCTTTGGATCACCCCCATACTCCGATGCGCTGCCCTTGCGAACAATCAAGAATGATGCAACTACATGCTGCCCGGACTTTGCTGGCAGGAATTCCAAGATGCTGAATCTAGGAAACAAATATCTGTCCCCTGACCCAAAATCGAAAACTACTGCAGAAATATCTGGTCGATTTACATGGCTCGGTGCTTTTGATTTCATCTGCTGATTCGCTTGTGGAGCCCCTTGCGGTGCTTGGGCTTTCGGCTGGGAAGCAGTTGTAGGCCCGTTTACTGGTGGTTGTCTTAGGGGTGAAGGCCCAGGCGTGGTGGCGGCCTTGGGTGTTATTTTCGCATCGCGGTGTAGGCGGTCCAGAGTTTGCTTCAAGTCCGTGGCATCGGTGAATCCGGGTTTCCCCTCGGCAATGCGACGAATCATGTCCTTTATCCGCTGATTTTCGAGGGCAGTTTTTACCAAAAGGACGACCAACGGATCACTTCGCGGAGGAGGTCGAAGTTCCGATGATTTCTGATTCGGGTTTGAAGCGAGCACAATGTCCAAAATGGTGCGAACCTCGTCAGCAAAATACTTCACGGTTCGACCATCCACCAATAGCCTATCGGCGGACGGGCCTTGCTGGCCACCTCGTTGCCGATACTCTGCATTCAGCTGGTCGATTATCTTTTGGAACTTGGCCAGCTCCCCATCCTTTGCTTGTCCAACAGCGACCCTCTTCATCAAATCTCGAAGTTCAGGATCAGCAGAGGCCTTTTGGGCAAGCAGCGCAATCACCGGGTCATTTGCTGCAGGTTTTGCTGCCGGAGCTGGCGCGGCTGCTGGTCTACTGCTAGGTGCAGGCGGTTGGGCTTGATTAGGCGTGCCAGCAGGGCGAGATGAGGTGCTGGAAGGTGACCCGGCCGCTGGACTAGAGACAACAGCCTGTCTCGTTGGAGCATTGGCAGCGGGGCGGGCGATAAGTTGAGGCGCCCCTGCAGGTTGCAGAGGAGTTTGTGCCGTTGAAGCTGGTGAATGTGCACCGCCCGCAATGGGAGCAGTGCTTTGTGGTTGTGAAAAATGCTGTGAGGGCTTGGAGGCTGGAGCAGGTGTCGTAGTCGAAGCCACCAACCCCTGTGACTGCGCTTGCGGCTGTCCCTGTTGGGGAGCAGATGATTGCGCAGGCTTGGCAACACTTGGAGGCCCTGGATTGGGAGATGCTGTGACTTTAACGGGTACTTCTGCCGCCGATGCAGGAGAAGAGGCCGGCGGCACGGCTGGCAAAGCCGGGGATGACGACTTTGGTACTACTGGCGTAACCGATGTAGGCGTCGCCGATGCAGAATCTGCCGATACAGGTACAGTCTCGACAGGAGTAGAGTTCGGGGCAGAAGCGGCTGGTGTTGCCATTGATGTCGGAGTGGTTGTAACAGGACTGGTAGGGGTTGGCGGGGGCCGCATGGCACCGTTTGGAGGACCATACTGAAGAACAGGCCGTGCGAGAACAGGTTGTTGTGCGGCCGCTGAAGGGTTAGGGTGTGGTTGTTGCTGTGGTTGTGGTTGCACAACGGTTGGTTGTTGCGGTTGACCTGTTTGTGTTGCTTGCTCTTGGACTGCCGGCTGAGGGTTGGGCTTGAATCTTTGCTGCTGGTGAGGTAGCAGCTTGGACGTTTTGACAGCATACATGGTTGCTTCGATGATGTGCGGCTCGATGATAAGCGTGACCAATCCAACTTTCATCATACTATCCTTGGGTGGGTTATTTGGGTCCTCTTGCAACACGCCCTTGCGTTTGTGTGGTTTCGTCCAAAACTTCTCAAACAAGCCTTCGCTGATCCACTTGTGCCGCGATCTCGAGAGCGATTCCGACATGACACCGCTGAAAAGGCACGGTTAGCACAAGGGGCAGGATGGTAAGAGAAGCCTTTTTCGCTGGCTACGTATGCTGGATGGATAGCCTTACCTCTCGGATACGGACTGGTATTCTTTGCAAGACAGGTTCGTCGGCTGAGGTTCCTCCACGGTAGGGAGAGGCTTTCCGACTTCGATTGACTTGGGCAACGCCGGAGGAGGCGGCGGCGGCGGCGTCGGCGACGGTGTCGGTTCGCGAGGAGGCGGTTCTGCAACAGCTGGCGTTGATGACTGTCGGGTCGATACATTTCGTCTCTTGGCCGCCTGCTCTTGACGGGCGGCGGCTCTTGGGGGCAACTTTCTTTTCCGCTCCATCACACGCGGCTATGGCAAGACTGAGCAGTCCAGCAGTTCGGATTCAATCGGCCAGCATGGAGCAACACATCATATAGGTGCCATACGGGTCGTACGCTGGCTTGCTCTTGTGATGGGCGTTTCAAGACGGCGGTCAGGCGGGCGAGGCATTCAATGCCGGCGCAGGGCTCACAATGGATGTGTGTAGGCGCCAGCTGCCGCGGGATTCAACCAGAAGAAGCAAGGAGAGAAATACGATAGCCAGGACGAAGTCTATGTCGTGATGCGTGATTGGTCTGGTTGGCCGAAGGAAGGCGGAGCCGGTCAGCGAGGCGTGTTGGCGTGTTCGGTACGGCGCCACAGGCGAGGCAGAGAGACGGCAAACGGACCGTGCGATCAACAGAGGTCGTTTCAATGTTCAGCGCGCAAGAACGCAGCAGCCTCTCTACCCAGTGCTCCGGCTCAGTCAAGGGCGTGCAGGCTGGAGGACAGAAAATGAAGGCCAAGACGAGCGCGGCCAACGAGTGTCTGTCTGGTTGGTGTTACTGACTGGTGGGCCAATTGAGCAATTGAGCCAGTCACGCACCAGACCTGCCTGCACTTGCCAGTGACAGTGGCAGTGGCAGTGGCAGGAGCCCAAGGAGCGCCGCTTTTACCATGTGACCAACTGGGCGCTAATCCATTTTTGGGTAATGCTGGTCTTGGCCTGTCTTCGACCTTGACTAATTATTTCCAACTTTATGCGCCAAGAAAATAGAATTGTGCTCCTTGTTATGTAAACTTCCCGTCCAAGTTAGCAATACTAATAATGGAGCAGCACAGTGCAACTGCCTTTCACAGATACTGGAGGTATAAACGGTTGGCAACCACCAGGACGAGGTCGAGATAAAAGACGTCAAGTTTTCAAGCTGGACAATTGATAGACAAAGAAAAGAATAGAGAGCGGCCCCTGTTTTCTTAGCCACCGTGACTTGCAGCGGAGGGCCAGATAAGGGGCTAGACACTAAGGGCAATCCACTGTATTTAAGAGAGTAGCTGTGAAGAGAATTGTAGGGAGTACCCAGGGGTTGTGAAATTATGCGTGATAATGTAAGAAATAGAGATGATTGTATGCTCCACTAATCTCTCCTCATCAATAACTTATATTATCTCGGTAGCGCCGCTTTATACTGGTAGGTAGCTAATAAAGTACGGGTTACACACCATATTCTATTATTGGTTTCAATACAGAACTCTGTCTATGTTAGTGCCATTATGTTTGTAACAAACGCCCAAGGCCCCAGAGCCAATATCCACTGCAATATGTCTTAGCATGATCTTAGGCAACTGGGGTTGGCATTACTTCTCTTGTCAACCATGAGTTGGGTTCTCACGGATCGGAACGCATCACGCATCAGTATCGCGAAAACAGCGACAGCTAAGACGCGCATAATTGTTCCATATCAGCAACACTAGAGCAGCGTCGAGTACTATGTCTAGAGCCAACCACCCCTTTAAAAGCCGGAACAAACTAATTCCCCTATCTAAATCTAGCTTTGTGGGCATCGTTAAATGCCATGCATAAAGCTGCCAAGTCACTGCTATCGATACCATCAAGGACCAAAGAGCTGGGGTATTTACCTTCCCTTGTACACCAGTCGAAAAGCTCAGTAAATAGGCGGTCCTTGGACGGAGTGGCGAGAGACAGGACAAAGCTTGAACTCTGTCCCAACGTCGTCAAGACAGCCTCCGTGTCTGACTGGGTGTGACAGCCCGAGAAGGTAAACGACCTTGGGTTTTCCGTCAACATGTGCTGTTGAAACTCCTTCATCCGCTCGGCCTCGGGTTTGTCCCAGGCCGAAGCGTCAAATGGCCAGTTCGAGTAATGAAAAACTCCAGGTCGACCAGAGACGTCAACACCATTGTGCACCAATACTAGGACTGCCGAAGAGCCACAGCCAATCAGATTATGCAGGGTAAGATTTGTAAGGTCTTGAGCTGGCGGAGGACCAGTCTCCGGTTTCCATAAGCATTGAATTCCGGTCTCAGAGTTTGTCATTTTATCCAGGAGGAGATTCCAATGCGCGGCATCAAGGTCTACGAAATCGTCGCGGCGAAAATTGCCGCTCACATCCTTGATCACTCTTGCCTCGGATATGTTGAGCACGATTAACTCGTGCGACTCCAACGTGTACCTGTTGATGCCGTCAATGATGTCCTGCAACGATTCGCCGTCGCCTCCCTGCCATGTGTCGAAAGGTGGGAAGAAATGCCACTTGGAAGGCGCATTGATGAAGGAGTAGTGACCGCAAGCCCACTGGCCTCGGTGCTGGACTGGGCGTATATCGAAGTAACGCACGCCGAACTTCAACTGCTCCTCGACGGACACATACTGTGTTGCGACAGACCCAACGGCTGCGAATGCCGTGCTCCAAGGCACCCTGGACATTCCCGAGTCGTGAGAGGAGGGAACGCAGATGTCGCGCAGTTTGCGAGAACCCAGTGTGCTCAAATTCTGGCTCATCCAGTCTCGCGCGTTGCCGACCGAGTGGTAATCGCCACCCTCGCCGGAGAGAACGAAGTAGGATGGGCGATTGGAGATGAGCCCAAGCTGCACTACTGAGCCTTGGGCGGCATTCATGGTGCCAAAATTGTCCATGCTAACTTGGAGGCTGATGGACCTGGCCTGGATTGTGAAGGTCTCATGACGACCGTCAAGTCTGTAAGTCGCTGCGGCCCGACTGGCAGAAGCCCTGGATTCGACGTAGACACGCTTGCTGGTATCTAGAAGACGTGTCAGTTGAGCTGAAAGCATCAGTTGCATCGTCGAGGATCAGGAACCTACAAGACTCAACGACGCTAGCATCCCGCGGGAATTCCCATTCCATAGATTCCAACAAGTGAGATGCCAGATGCCATGCGTACGGTGTGGCGTTCACCAACACGATGTGCCCGCCTTGGCCCATATTCACAGCCGAGACGCAGAAATGACGGAAATGGAAGAAGAGAAGCGCAGTTTGAGCAGCGGGTTTTCCTTCCTTGTCTATAGTAACGTAAAGTGAGAGCAATTAGATACAGTTCGCTCGACGACGAGACCCGCAACTAACAGGACATTTCTCTTCACGAATATATAATCAAGGTTCGCATGACAGCGACCAAGAGTCTGGAACCAGTGGCTTTTTTCAGCCTGAATCAAAATGCCATGGGTTGTGCCTATCAGCTCCCCGTCGGGTCAGGGTCTCTGCCTCCAACGAGGGGGTTCTAGACCACAATGACCGAGAGCCGCTGCTGGGTAGCCACGGTGCGATTATAGATAGGATCAATTATTGGCACTGACCGATGGGACTTGCCCAGCTTTTAACGGCTTTTGACGTACATGGCATTGTGGAACATTGAAAGCCAATACTGGCTTTGCAACATCGAACGACTTCTCCGGCGCCGCCGGTCACGGCGCCGGCATCGTGCCGTCCCGACCGGGCGGAGCCAAGACGCCTTGCCGAGGCTGAAAGCTGCAATGCATGTCTGGTCTGTTCACGGTCTGGACGCACGAGAAGCCACGTGGTTATTGAACAGAGCCCCTGTATCCCTCCCGCGCCTATTGACTACTAGTACCCAAGCCTTCAATATTGGCGCCGGAATCACACCGATGATAGTCTGCAATAGCGTCTGACAGGAGACAAACTCCGCTTTCAGCTCGAAAGTCTTCACGATGCTGCCGAGGGAGCCAGCGCGTTGCACTAGTGGACTATCCGTCGACTTCATGGCAGACTTATTGGGGGGGCGAGCAGGCCCAGCACGTTCTAGATCGCAACATTGAGCGGCATCAAGCCGGAGATGCTGGCCCATGACAATACCGTCTTGTGTATTAAAACAGTTGGCGGAACATGAGAAAATCGATGTATACCATCTCAACAACGATACTCCTTTCATCTTTAAGAATACACTCACCCTTCTGCAAAGAACTTCTTCCAAAGCTAGCCCTACCATGATGGCGCAAGGCAACGAAAGCGAGACCTATCTCAATCTTGGCTGGACAGGCCCTCACATCACATTCGGCTCGGGCTACGACGTTGCTGTAGGTTCTCGCCATAAGATGCTGTCCCTTGCTGAAGTTGTCTTCTAATGACCAAATAGCATCGAAAATTGCGAAGTTCTGCATTTAGTGATTTCCCGCATCCCACAACGGAGCCCAGCCACATTGGTATCAAAACGCAGAAGCATCTAATCACGACCGCCGACGAGCTCAAGTCTCGCATCAAGGCAGATGTCAAGGCAACCATTCCCTTGGAAGGGGTATCGGTCGAGACTGAGAACTCGTATCTTCGAAATGTCCAAACGTCGTCCACCTCCCTTGTCCAAGTCATGACGGCCACAGTCGAGGACCCTCCCGCCCTAGCAGACACTTCCAACTTGAAGCTGAGCGCAACCGCACTGTCCATCTTGGAAAGTCCCGACGGGGTCAGCAAGTTTCAGGAACGATACGGCGATTACTTCATCTACGGAGCGTTGTCGCGAGCTCGATTCAACGCCGTCTGCACCATCCGGACTTCAAGCTCCAGTATCCGAAACCAGATCAAGACCAAGCTTGAGGCAACCCTTAGCGAAGCAGGCAGCCTATCCGCCACCTTTGAATCTCTCAGCAAGTCATCAAGCGAATGGGCGTCCACCGACATCGACATTGCCATCAGCGGAGTCAAGGGCCAGCCTGCCTCAAAGAGCAAGACAAACAAGATCGACGAAGTGCAGTCCGCGTACGACCATTTCGTCAAGGAATACAAGACGGAGCCGTACATTGGCATGCTTTGCCACTACTCCGTGGTTGACCAGAGGATCCCCATTTCCCAGAAGCAGTTCAGTTTCTTGGGCCCAGCCTTGGAGTTGCTCTATCAGTCGCTATACATGGCGCAGACGCAGCTTCTGGCGTCGCCCATGACGCAGGCCGCAGGATTCGCTGTCAAGATCTCGGCGCTCTGCGATGAAATCAAGACCATCAACGTCGGTGATAAAGACAGCATAGCTCAAATACAGACCAAGGTCAACGAATGCACCGAGGAGGCCGAACGCTGGCGACTACGACAGGACCTTGTTGACGATGCGAAGAAGCTTGAGAGAAAGAACTTTAGCCCAGGGTACGTATGGACCTTTGTTTTACTATCTATAATGACTTACACTCCCGTAGGGACTGGATAGAAGCTTTCAATACCAAGGAATGGTCCAGCGGCATCCTTGGCGTACAAGGGAATGCCAAGTATGGGGCTCTCGCGAATGATGTCAAGTATCGCCGCGAGAACTTTGTCAAGGACTATGCGTTTGCTGCGTATCAAAAGGGCACCTTTACTCTGGGGGATAGCCAGGATGTCATTCTAGGCTTCCGCATCAACTCGTATTGGAATGACGGTACTAACGGGTGGTTCAAGATGCATGATGGAACCGTGGGCAGCTCGCAAGTCACGGTGGAATTCAGCTCTTACAAAACCCGAGGATGCGACTGGTCCATCGAGGTCTGGACGGTTTCAAAGCTGAAATACGACAAGAAGGAGTAGAGAGCGGCGCTAGTGATAATTTGTCCAAAAAATTAAATCATTTCTCATCGTGTACTCACACACCGGTCGCCTGAGGTCCTTATCTCGCTCGGGCTCATCCTCCGTCTCTTGGGATGCTTATCCGCATCACTTATCACCACGTACATCACCGCCCTACGCACAGGACTCATAGTAAATAATAATAGCGGCAATAAAGGCGTATAAGATGGACTATTAGTTCCTCTAGAGAACCACTTGCTGCGTCCGCCCCTCCTAGACCCGATGCAAGCCACTGCGCCGAAGAATAGTTTCATCTCGGTAACACTAGTACAATGTCAAGTACACTTGTGCGAAGTCGTAGATTTCGGCTTGTGCAGTAGCTGCAGAGTTTTCTCACAAGGGCATTTCGGGCTCTAAGATTTCAACTATTTAAACACGCTTAGAATACTACTTGGGCCCTAGCAATCGCAGCTATTAACGCTATTTTACAGCTACGTAAAACATAAAATTAATAATGAAATACTTCTTAAAAGAAGAGACATATTATAAGCTACTTTCTTAATATAGGCGTGCGAAGAAAGTATTATTACGGGGGAAGATGCAGGGGATATTCGCGGTATCCCTCATCTCTTATATAAGGTAGGCTCCCTCACACAAGCTATGTTTAGGCTATTGTTCTGCACTGCAGTCCGCGCTATAGTCCAGAATAGCGGTGACGGACGGGCCAAAAGTTCAGTCTACATATCTCAGGCGGACTGCCACTTTAGTTTAGACCAAGGAAAGACGGACCACTAGTTTATTTTCTGTCAGGGTCTCACGTCAAAGAGAGGGCTTAATAAGAGTATCCAAGTGAATTGTATCGCTGGGCGAAGTTTATACTAGATTTACTATATAGACATAGCCTAGGGAAGTAGGAGAAAGCTACAAATGACCCCCTTGCGAATAGATTAAGATGTACAAGAACATCACGTACGTACGACGCGGTAGCCTTAACTGGTATTAACATTGGTTCGCGATAGTTTGCCCAAGTCAAACGGACTAAATCGCAGTCCGAAAATTTCAGACTGACTGATTGGACTATTTGGAGCACTGGCGTTAGCGAGGTTGAAAAAGGCGATGGCACCTTTAATAATGGCAACAGAGGGCCGGAATACGGGCGTTTTAGTGCGAGTTGAAATACACACGTGATTTTTGGCACTTGAAGGAATCCAACTGCCCTTGGAAGCATATTTCGATTACAAATGCCTAGAGTAGCGTCCTTCTTTGAGAGGGGCAATAAGCATTCCCCTCGCCACTTTAAACATTACTCTTGTCATGTAATGGGAGGTCAGGTAGCGAGAGCAATTATATACCCGTGTTGTGCTTAATTCTGCTGAATCCCGTCATGGAGATTCGTGTTATTTATCTTGTCTAGGTGGCCAGTTAGCTTTGGGTGTGCTATTCGCTTTTTTAGACTTTGCAGTGTCGCCACACTTTCGAGGTGGTTTGAAACTATAATATAGCGATTAGTTATAGTAGTTTTTATGCATACTTAGGGGCTACTGACTCCTCGCTCTTGATACCAATAATAAGTGTGTTCCTAGTCTATAGGGTGGGCTATAGATATATAATTATCTTATTCTTGGTAAACGTCGAGGCAGTGTACGCCAAACTCGATGACACAGCCGCGCCTGTGATTACTGCCCTTCGTTTCTAGCTTTCAGTCGTTCATTTCCTATCATACTACGGTTTCTCATAATATGTATTTTGAATCTTCGGGCTTACTTGAAGATATTCCTCCAGGTGTTTACACTCCTATCTATGGCAGCTGAAGCGGCGCCAACTTGAAAGGACATGAGGTGAAGACTGGGGCAAGGGGTTTTAGCAAGGCAGGAGAGGGTAGTTTGGGCTCAGTTTGCGAGACGGCCTGTAGCCATCCTGAAGCGTATAGCTGCTCATGCTGGAGCCATATTCGGCTTGTAATTTGCTTGTCCAGAGATGACTTGCCTCTTGAATGGAAAGAGGATTTTCTTCGCTGTGTATCCGTACATTTCAGAAGCTAGCGACCTTTTTATATAATCGACGCTTACGGGCAGATCATAGGACATTCATTTGGTGGCGTTATTGCATCGGTATCAGCCGAGTGCACCTCAAACAACCCAGCCCGTTACAGATTATTCTGCCATAATTGACCACTTCCCTAGTGCCTTGTAAATTGTAGTGTCATCCCTGCTTGTGATCGTTTTGTGTATTGCCACCTAGTACCACGTCTACATGTCAATATGATGAGGGTGTTTTGTTCTGAGACAGAATATCATGGTTGCCTATCGACTTGCAATCTCCGCACCAAGTGGTAATGGCGGTTAGACAAGTCTTTTTGCAAGCCAGGGCGACGGGACCCTCCTCGCATACAGCCTCGCATCGTCATTCGACTAGATCTTGCGGTACATCATGATAAGTATCATGCTTAGAAATCAATGTATGTCGATCAAGCGACCTTTTTAGAATGTCATTTCTGATCATTCGTTCACCTTTTATGTGGATAACTGCCAATAATGTGGGCCGAACTGCATCATCACAGTCACAACGGCTTAATATTTGGCGAATAAAGTCTTTGCTTAAAAGAGGGGGAAATGACGACGCAAGTGGCTTGAGGCTTGAATTACAGCGTTGCAAGTAAATAGCTTCAAGTAAATACGACGGACCGAAGTCTAGAATTAGTTTGAGTTTTTCTCAAAAGTAAATTTCTAGAAGCTTTCAGACAGTAATATACTTTAAATTACCACATAAATGAAGTCAAATAGCCGCGTAACAACAACAGCTGGCAACAGAGTAGATCTAGCGGATGTAAAAGTAGATTTACTATTTACAAAATGCACGGATTATACATCAATTCGCCCTTTTTGCACATTGACCTCAAGTGCTAGTTGACGACTTTCGCGACAGTGCAAGTCGGAATTGACGCTCGGCGTGTCAAGCCCATCCAAAGGCGTCAATTCGGCCCGTGACACTGTTCGTTTGTAGCATGGATTGGTACTGATTCTGGGAGTCTTGGCTCTTGGTAGTATAAAAACCATGTACATTGGATTCAAAAGTGTAATAACTGTGTGGCAATTGACTTGCGGCGAAATAAATTAATTTACAGACACTCCACAGCCTTCGGCATCGCTCGTAGACAGGCAAATTAGAAGCAAGCAAAAGTTGGGCCCTGCGTAGTAATTTCTAGAATTTACGAGGAAATAAAAAGTTTTATGAAAAGTTACATAATGAGAAAAGTTAATAGTGGTACTTGATTTTAGTTGGCGCATAATACCAGGGGAAATTAGCTATATAATGGAAATAAATGAACATAAATAGGAGCTGTTTTCGAGATGTAAAATAATCTACTCTCTGCAGATTAATTTAATCTGTAAACCAGGTATATTCTTACTCACACTTTATCGCTAATATGAAGTATTCTATGCTCTCTGCTGTGGCCGTTCTCGCGGCAACCTCGCTTGGTTTCCCAGAATTCTACTGGGGGGACCAACGATCAGGCCCTGGCCACGTTCTTATTACGAATAATATGAATAGGGCCGTCCGTTTGGATAAAGTAACGGGAAAATCACTCGAGTATTTAGTAAAACTATTTCGCGACGAAGAGACTATTATTCACTCCCATCAAACAGTCTCAATTCAAGCATCTGACCAATCCGCGGACCTGAAACTCCGAGAGCTAGGAGCAAATCACAACCAGGTGGAACTGAGCTATGCTGGTGGGGACCAAAACACGTATAATTACGCCATCAAGCCGATCGAAGGCGACGAGTTTCCCGGAGCTGTCCTCGTTTTTCCTACTGCACATGATCCCCCTCGATGCCATGCCGAAAGGTGGTACCCTGGACAAGGAGATACGCCGCAAGTTACGTGCCGAGACCACGTCGCACTCCGGGTTTACCTGCAGGAAGTGCATCATCCACCACCGTTCGAAGCTGAATATGATGATGATGGGTGGTATTAAAAAGAGCGAAGAATGGCAATAACGGCAGCTCAACCTGCCGGCACCTCAAGAGTTGCCAGAGACGCGTTTAAAAAGTGTTGGTTTTGGAGGACAATATCCTATGTATAACTCTATATATTACTCTGGAGTTTTACTCATGGAAGGTTCAGTGTATTCTTTGTATTCTTGGTGGTTGGCCAATGTGATCTGTGTCCAAGAGTAGAAGGAATTTAATATTAGCTACTTTCCTTGGCTACCTGAATCTAGTCTTCTTAAGAATCTACCAGATTGTTACAAGCAGCGTGAGCCACATATGAGGGCATTTTCGTTATTCGTTGCGTCTATCACGTGCTGTTAAAGCCGCTCGAACAATCAAAACGATTTTCGGCCTTGAGATGATTCGAAACTTGTTTTAAACTATTTGCATCGACGTCAATTAGGGTTACCAAATGAGGCCAATTTATATCACAGCCCCTAAGCCCCAACCATGGAACTAATGTTATGGGGGGAGTAATATGTCCCAAAAAGTGGCTCCTGTAGTATGACAAAATCGGAAAAGAACAAATTCCTAAGGAGTGAAGAAGTATTACATGATCGAGTCTTCAAGGAGCAAATACATTCTGGAAATTTATAAGGGAGGCTGTAGTGTTCCAGAATACGACGTTTTGAGCTACCAATCCCGACTTTTATTTGAGATTTTATTCCTTTTTCCAGCCTTTCTCTTTCGGCATATTTTTTCACTTCCGTTCTGCTTTCTCTGCCTTGTCAGTGGTATTGACATATCGACAGCGGCGCAAGCGGATAAGGTTGACCCGGAGATAATCACATGGCAGGTTTTATCTTCCGGGATGGAAACGATAGCTATGAATACACTGATTGGACTGTGGTTTGTGGACAAATCAATTGGCATTTCAAGCCCACGCTCATACCCGCTATGGTCTATTCATGAAGATATCCACATGGGTACAGGGGGACGAGGCACAAACCGGCTGCCCCCTCTTCCCTTGTGTTTGTCCGAGGATAAAGTCAGGACTCCAAGGAGTACTACGAAGCGACAGAGTGAATACGGAGATGGTGTAGTTGGCAGCTTGTCGGGGAATGTATCACTTTAACCTGCCAAAACATCACTGGTAAGATTTGAGCGACGGTGGAGTTGAATTCGTGTTAATTAATGAGCTCCATGTCTTGCGCTTGTTACCCACTATTCCACCATACGTTGAGCATACCACCCGACGAGAATGCATACCTCCCGACCATTGCTCGCCTACCTGACCTGACCTGACTATGACTTTTTCTTAATTAAATTACTTTTTTTGGTATGCCTGTAATTAACCCGAACTGTGACCCTAGCCTAAATCCTAGCTTTAACCCTGATACCTAAATAACCTTAATTTAAATTAACCTTAATGCTTAATCAACCCCAACCCCAACCCCAAAGTAACGGCGATATTGGGGATATCCACCATAGCCTAATGTATTTTTACCTAAAATAGTAGTAGTAATGCTCAGGTTAGGTATGCGAGCAATGGTCGGGTCGTCTGCACTCTCGGTTCACCATTTGGGGCCGAAAATCCTTTGGTTCGGGATATCACGACACAGCGGATGTGACAAGGGCTCAAGGAGGGCTTGGAGCTAATAGCTCAATTCATCGAATAACAGTCTTTGGTATCAAAGGTCCTTGGTTTTCCAAGTCCTTGAGGGACCAAAGGTCGCTATAAATACAAGAAGTCGGTGAGGATCTTTGCCCTAGGTCTCGTGACCGTAGCCCTTGTGTAACCAGCCATTTCCGTGTAACAGCGGACTCAACCAAGACAGAGGCAAATCAGGCCAGGAAAAGCTTTTGCAGTGAGCCTCCACGGAAAGAAAGTTTGCCCTTTTTTTTCCATCGTGGGTCAAGATCCGACCGCGGATCGCGGATCATGCATTGTGGTTTTCACCAAAACTATATCCAAGTTTCGCGCCAACCTCGAGTGAACCGTAGGGCACATAGACACTTCAAAATCAGGCTAATGGATGGATACTTTGCTCTTGTTTTCAACACCGGTTTTCCAATACTCCGAACTTGACAATTTGGACGCTTGACTCTGGTTACTCGGTCGAGGTCGTCTGCCACCTATGACCAAGCCTAACACCTAGACGCCAAGACTGAATGCCCGAGTAGTCTTGCCAACATAAACATCAGCTGCTGTATCACTCAGGACCGCAAGCTGCCCCAGAACCTCCCTCTCAGGTCGCAGCAGCGTTGCCCCCAAGTTATGCTGGGGTCAAGTTCCCATGCGCTACTGCCCAAAGCAAAAACTCGCATCATGTGCCGACGCTTACTGTCTTGAATTTCTATTACGAGACAAAATGCCAGAGAAGTACACTGACGGGCTACCTGTACACAGCTAATCACGGCTACGTTGGCTGGAATTGAATAGCGGAGTCTACTTTACGGCATTTGCGTGCACGTAAGGGTTCAATCAATACATCCAGGACATAATACTGTGGATATTATTCCAAGGGTCGCTATATCTACATTATTCTGCGCTAGCCAGACTCCATCGTCAGTCGTGACCGCCTACCTGTATCATACTGCATCTTGCAAACCCGAATAGATTGCGCCAGGCTTGAGCAGCTCCGTCAAACAAGTCAAATACCATACGAGTTGTTACATGTACCATCAGGGCATCACGAGAACCCGATGCTTGGCAACGGGACTAGTAGGCAGGTCCCTAAGTTAGACAAAGCTCAACCTTGAACATCTTCAAACCTTCATGCAAGGAGAGAGGGTTTGCTGAATCAAGATGTGGTAGCCCAGCCTGACCTAAGACTTCCAAAGTGGCAGAGGTTCACATTGATGACCAATACAATTTGCCGTACTATGAGTCACGAGAGGTGTGGGCTATATTATAGTGTAGGACTTGGTTTCTACTCCCAGAAGCATCCGGAATGAATAGGAGGGCCCGGCGGAGATACAAAAACCATAGGAATATTTCTCGTAATAGATAGTCAAACTAGTAAATTTTCTCTTAGCTCAACAAGACCGCATGAGCTGATGTCGATACTAGAAGTACCTTTATTGCGTGCCGGAGAATTGGTTCGGTGGTTTAATATGCGACTCGTTTATACCGGCAAAGCAGCTCTTTCTTGATTCGGGCCATTTTCAGTTATGCGGAGCCGTGAACCAGTGTAACTTCTGTCCAAAGTCACAGTACATACAAGGACACGTACATAGCACGTCCATGGCAAGCGATGTGGAACTAGCGTCTTATGCCATGCAAAGTCCATACGACCTAGGTCGAAGAATCTTCTCCATATTCTATAGCATTGACTCGTATTAACGTATCTGATACAAAACCTGAGTTTCTCGCCTTGGGGAATTACTTCATGACAGATTGTCAGCTTTTCCGATGGCGCAGTTAACATATCACCAGAGTAAAAGCCAGGACTCCCGAAGGACTTTAGAGATCAGGGACAACGACCCCGGGGGGCAAAGCTAGATTACAAATAGTCACTGGCACCAAAACTGATCATCAGGCCACAAGGATATCTGTGCTATTCGATTATACCCAGGGAGATGGAACATGAACAAGCAGCCAGGTGGTGGATTCGAAACCCGGGTCAACACATTGCAATCCATGTGTCTACTTGCCCAGACCAGTCCATAACACTGTTATTTCCCACAAACACCAGATAACCTTAGCGGGACCATCAGGCCATGTTCGCATGAGAAGGGGCATTTTTCCAAATCCCCCCAGCCAAGACCATGGGCTGGGGTCAGGTCCATGCGGTGGTCGGACTGTAATCTTGTAGAGAAATATCGCCGTGCATGACATTACGGGGTAACTAGTCGGAGAGTTCGTATTTATATCTAGATACTGCCTTTTGTCTACTATTCTCTACAGTTTTCTTTCATTCTGTCCATCGAAGCTATCCTATAGACTGGCAACTCGCTTATCCTGTCGAGATGGCCCGTCGGCGGTGGTCCTATCTGCCGATATGTGCTGCCATGCTGTTTTTCTTGTTCATTCTTTGTTCATTCTTGGTTATTCCTCTGGGCAAGGCAACTGACTATGTTTTCCGCGGAGACGACAGAGACCCAACTGATTAAACAATCGGGGGGGTTTAAGCCAACAGAGTCAAGCTACAATGACCAGCTCGCATTCAGCCTGCATGCGCACATTGACCATACACAGGGCGATACGGCCTACGTCTCAACTTCTGAGTCGTTTGGCGTAGCGGTGCAGTTTGCCACGACGGGCGGCTGGGTTTACCGCGTACATCGCCTCGGAAACATGATCATCACCAGTGAGGCACTTCCCAACCCGCCGGCTCCAGAGCAGCAGGAGCTCGCCGCACTGGGAGGGTCTCCGTGGGATGCGATTGAAGGCTGGTGGGCAAGTCCCTTCCGCACTCGATGTACCAGAGTTCTCTGAAGAGCAGGCACTTCAGCTCTCGCGAGAATACGCGGCAAAGTACGAAGCCGATTTCATTCGCAACCCGGACTTCAACTTTGAAAAGTATAAAAACGAGCAGGCTCAGGGCCCTGGAGAGGAAGTGAATGTCCTCTCTGCGATGCCCGACCAAGACCCCAACAACTGGGACGACGCATACTGGGACCGGCTTCGGCAAATCGACTTTAAGAGCTCTGCTGTAAGCTTCATGGACAACCATGCCTCCAGTCTCGGGTGGCAAGCGGGCCAGCAGTTCCCCTTGGCTTTATGGGACGAGAGCACCAGCGAGGCGCCAGCCAAGAAGCCCAAGGTCGAGGAAACGCCAGAGACCCAGCAGCAAGGAGAGACGTCGGCGCAGCCCAGCCTCCCTATGCCTACATCAACCGCCCCCAAGGTCGTCTTTTACGGTGACTACCTGTGGCCGGCCGAGGCTAAACGACAGGGCGGATTCCTGACGCCGGCTGACTCCCTGGCTCTATCCAGGAACCCGCCAATTACGGCGTATACTTTGCGAACGCACCTCAACAGGAATAGTCTCAAGCTTCACCCCGAGACGTTCTTCACCTCGGCACATGAAACCTTTGGAGCTGCCGCAAAGGAAGCCGCAGACAAGGCAGCGAAGCTCGGTGGACAGTTTGACCCTGTCGTCTACATGGTCCATGCTACGCCAAACATGTTTAAGGTGGGCAAGGAAGTGGTCGTCGCAGGAGGCATCACTTGGCCGCAGGTCATGGCATGGACACAGGTGCCGCGCGACTATTCGCTCCCGGAGGAGGCGGTGACGCGTAAGCAAGAGCTGCACGAGCACTTTGAGAAGGCGTACAAGGCGAGGCCCGTTCACCTCCTCGAGAAGAACCCAGACTACGACGCCAAATTTGACCAGTATACTGCCACCGCAGAGGAGCAGCCTCAGCTTCTCGGCTCGAGAAGGCCCATGGGCGAGCTCCTCAAGTTCATGAAGGAACACGGGGCGGCAGTGGGCTTCCAGGAAGGGTTCCCCCTTTTCAAGCCGCCCAAGGTCATCACGGGCCAAGCTTCGGCGGCGGGGAAGGACGTTGAGCCTGCGCCACATGAAGAAGGTGTGGTCGAGGAAGTGTGGAATTTCATCAAGGGGCATGCCGTGGCCATTGCGCTTCTGCCCGCGGTTGCTGCGCTGAACTTGATTCCAGGCTTGGGAGAGATTGCGGATGCCGCCGAATTCGCGGCTCTGAGCACGGAAGCGGTGGAGAGCACAGGGCTGGTTCTCGAGGGCACATCGGCCATCGAAGGAGGCACTGTCGCAGTTGAAGATGGCACTGTCGCAGTTGAAGATGGCACTGTCGCAGTTGAAGATGGCACTGTTGCGGTTGGAGAGGGCACTTCTGCAGTTGGAGAGGGCTCTTCTGCAGTTGAAGACACTGCCACTGCCAAAGATGTGACAACGGGCAACCAAGGTGCAGACATTGCACAGCCCGAGGAGGAACTCAACCTGCCTGATGTGCCGACACACGAGCCGGGAGCCTCGGTAGAGGAGCAGCTGGACAACCTTCCTGACGTGCCCACCCACGAGATAGAATTTTCGGAGAAGGTGCCGTCTGATAAGATAGCTGTACAAGCTGACTAATTCTGTAAAGACGGGGTCTTGTTGAAGACGACAGATAATATTACAGTAGAGCCTGCTAGGCAACAGTACTGCAATAAATATATACGTTTACCATTCTACTCCGTATAGTTAACTTTCACTAAAAAGTTTACTTTTTAGTTTAGATTTCCAATATATTTTTCCAGATGCGGGTCAGGAATCCATTTTTAATGTGAGTTTGTGTCTTGGAAGTAACGTTTTGCATGAGCTGAGGCCTCAGACGAGCATTAGCAAGTGATTGTTCCGTGTGCTACTTTCAAGGCATTGGGGCTTTTTAGGAGAGGGATAGACTCGATGCCTATACTAGATGACAAGGCTTCCTAGAGCTACTGTCAGGTTTTAGTCTCTGATATCCTGCTATTCGTTGAGTTATTACTAGGTTAATTCATGCTTTATACTTGACGAGTTGGCGCTTATCCCGTAACGTTACTGCTTATAAATAAAGCTAAACAAGACATGTTAAGGTACAGCTCTCTACTTAGCCGGCCAGCTGGAAAATGCGTGTCTCCGGCAAGCTGACTTGATGGACGATATTAACAGGGCTGCCAAATAAAAGGACGCAATAGATAGCAATTCTGGGAATTTGAAAGTAGCATGACACGCAGACTGTGGCTGGAGTAACTCGTCAATCAAAGACAAGACTAAGTTCAAGAGTATAAGCCTAGCAAGTAGCAGGAAATCTCATGTACTTGTGCTGCATCTTCGAAAAGGTGCTTGAGTGATCAGACGTGCCTCCTTACTTATTCGTGGCGAATGGCACCTCCTAGTCTACAAATTAAACCATATGGAATATCATTAAGTCTTTATCCATGGTCTTTCACGAGCTCAAAAGTTGCCTTTGTTTCAAAGCACACCTCTCTTTTTGACTTCTCTCCCGCGCAACATGGAGACAAGCGGCGGTGGAACTGGGGTCTAGCCGACTCGCAAACCGAAGTAAGGAACTGCTTTAAAGAAATAATTGTCGACCTGTACTTGCGCAACTACGGCAAAAATAAGTGGTCAACCGCTGTTGATGAGGTGGCCGAGTGTACGAAAATATATTACTCCTTCGATGCTGCGTAAGTGATATTACACTGGAAGCTCACCATGTTTCCAAACTTCTAGAAGCTCTGTTGTCAATATTTCATCAGCTGAAGCTCATCACCGCTTCGCTTTCAGGGCTGCAGAGTACCAAACCAAGTTCCGAGCTTGGAAAGTCAACAAGTGAATCGTGCAAGATGAGAAAGAAACTATGAAGAATGCTCTCGCAAGACGCAAAGACCAGGAACAAGTACGTCGCAGGTTAAAATACGCCAAGGCGATAGGGGCAAACCAGCGGATGCCAAAAAGCTGGAACGATTCTAAAGAACCCGAAACGTTATCGACTGACTAAAACTATCTATCACGAAAAAGAACGCGCTCTATTTAAATAACAATTATACCCCCTTACATTCCGTTAATATAACCTCGTAGTTCAAATTAAAGTTGTGGTATCACAGCTATAATGTAAGCTAGATAGTGGTTAGTTACTACTAGTAGCGTTTTTTTTTTGTGTGCTTATAGCTAGTTACGCTAGGCTTAGTAGTAACTTAATAGGGTTATTCATGTTAGGCAGCTAAAAATCCCTTAAAATATACCGTATATAGGTCTTAAACTAGAAGGTAGTTAAATGAGAGGTGCGTGGAATCACGGTAAATTATATTATTACGTTGATTAAGCTTATAATTATCATGAAAAGAACGCGCTCTAAATCGAATAGCAATTATACCCTCTTATATTCCGTTGACACTATCCGACCCGGATCATACATTTTTTTTCTGCCATATGTTATGAACACCTTAAGAGAACTATGTTGACCAAGGGCAGCAGATTGTTCTTATGGGACCTACGTCATGCAGATTTTGTCTCATCTCTTCCTAAAAATCCTCACAAGCCTTTTCTGCTTCAGCCACTTGGTACAACTTCAGGGCACTTGAACTTTTACACTCCCGAGTTCCTGGCCCCATGATCAGAGGCAGCCGGTCTTTCCCCTAAACTGCAGCTTATTTATAAAGAGGCCAAGGAATATCGTCACAGTCTTTCTTGTTTTTTTCTACAAGAGAGGCTAAAAGACCTTGCTGTCAATATGTGCAACAACGACCGCAGGTAAGCTGTACTTGGAACTCTACGTCTTTGGCATATCACGATTCCCTGCTTCACTAGGTTATCCAATATTCTTATTAACACAAGAGTATTGTCAACTACTTTTACGGCTTCTACATGTAGAGTTATGTCATCGCCAGGACCTGGGGTAAAGTGGCATCGAATGGGGTTACAATTCCGACGTCCCCCTTCATATCACAGCGGTGGAACATACCGAGTCCTTCAATACCACAGCACCTTGAAGAGCATTCTTCAGGCCCAACGCCACCAAAGGTTTTCCCTAGACGAACACCTCCTTCCTACAGGCTCAGTTCTGCAGATGGACTATCCATCTGATGGATAGCGCTGCTATCGTGAACTCCTCAGTGAGCCCGATCCAACAACGGATCCGAGTCGTTTGTAGAGTTCTTAGGTGAGTCTATGAGCTCTGATACATTTACTAGCATCCCCGTAGACGCCTCCCACTTGATAAAGAAGCTTTGATGCGGTCATTGGTTGGCAATCAAACGGTTCTACAACTGGGTACCTGAGAGTTCGCCATCATGGTAGGAATATCGAGCTCTTAAAAGCTCTCTGGAGAGAAAAGAAATAGCGTCCACCAGATAATATTAACGCCATTACCCACTTCATCTCGCAGTATCGTTCTAAGATGGAGGTTAGACTTGCTGTAGCACTTTTGTGGAGTTGTGCTCTTCTCTCGGGCCAGGTTATGCTTTCCATTATATGTTAACGATCTCGGACATACAATTCTCGGTAAACTAATGCTATGCATTCTACATCCTCAAACTGGGGTGAATACGGACACTGTAAGCTGCGGGTTTCATGAGTCCAATCGATTTCCCGGAGAGGAAAGGGACATTTGTGGTATATGGGATACGGAGACGCTGGCAGTCAACGCTCTATTCCGGCAGGGACATTGTCGGATGACTCATAAATGGATACACTGGTCTTGCCTGAAGCGAACAAGGGCCTGGGTCTGAGCCACCGTTTCGATAGAGGTCCGACGAGCCGATCGACGGGCTCTAATAAAGGTCCGGCTTCTTCCAACTGCAACCTGACATGGGACTTGGATGCTCACTCTACTCGGCTCAAGCTGGCCTGTGTCAATCCACAGAGGTCTTCTCAGGGCTACGATTCAGACTGAGCTGCTTGCATGTCGCAAGCTAGGTGCAAAATAGCCTTGGATTTCAGATACATTTTCTGTGAAGGCTCTGGAGACGTGGCTGGAAGGAAATTCTGACGAATTTTGACTCCCTTGGTTCAAAATGAGATGCTGCAGAAGCATTCACCATGTGGCTGGTTCCATAAAGCTGATGATTTCCTCATTTCTACGGCACAGGAGGTTTGTAGCGAGTACTTTATGAAGATAGACATCAATGAAAGAGCGTCCTTTGTCAGGACCCTAATCTGTTTAGAATATAGGGAGGACGCAGAGTATTCGAAGCTGGAGGACAGAGCAGCTGTTGAGCAGTCAACCCTCTGAGGAGCTCTCGTAGGTGCTCCTTGGAACATTTGCACAGGACAACTTCTTACAACTTGGGACACGTGACTGACAAAGTCTAGTAAAGATGGGGGCTTTACCAGGTATTGGGCTCGACGGGGAAGCTGCTGTCTGGCTCTATTAACCGTCTATACACAATGTCCATAGATCGCCGGGCTGGATGTGTTCAGTCCAGTTGGCACCTTCCTCCACAGTCGTTTTAATTTCGTAATTTATCTTCAAGAGAATTAAACGCAATATCTTCCAAAGGTGGCATCCCCGTAAGCTCTGAGTTGCCTTCCTGATGCCCAGGCGCTTACAGAGACTGAGCGGCTGTATCCTATATAACGCGCACATCGGACCCCAAGCAGAAGTCAACCACTCCCTGAGCGATTCACGGAATCAGAAAAAGTAGGAAGTTAATTAGACGCTTCGACCTGTCTATTTCAGTCGGAGGCAATGCAATACGGAACGTGATGCAACCGCAGAAACGTATCTACAGCATAAAATTATATATATTTTAGGTGGGCAAGTTCATCCTTCTTAAGTTCAGGTCCATCTCTGTCTCAAAAGCCGAGATCATACACCACGATCACTTAAGCACCTAGGAACTTACGCTCAATTGAAAGCTAATATTTCCTGCGATAGATGCCTTAGCAAGACCAAGGTCACCAGCAGAGAACAGGTCAACAGGCTGCAAGACGGCATTCACGGACTTATTGCCGGCCAGCTTGGACAAGGCGGCCTCGCCCAGCCTGTCGGCGACCTTGTTTCCAAGGAGGGTATAAAAAAAGCCGAAAGACAGGGTGTTACCGACGAGGGCAAGTACCTGCCGAAACCCGAAGATGCTTTCGCTAGGAAATAATTTGCTACGGACTTTGAGATATAATTTCGTGTGAGATTAATACTATAATGGATTGGAGTAAGATATTCATGAACCAAGTATTGGCTAATGAGATATGAAATATTACTCTTTGTATTCTAGGATGCATAGTAGTTAAATCTGTCGTGAATTGCTCCCGTGCCTGCACCGGAACTTTGACTGTTTACGCACCTCTTTCGTGAAATTCTTGTCTCCCGTTTTTAGCACAACTGCTTGGATTCTCTATATAGTGATAGATTCTACGCCCACGAGGAATTATTTGATGAAAACCCTGGCCATGCCTTGACAACTACTTTGAGGGGCACTGAGCCTTTCCCTGCTGCATCTGTTGAATTATTGCTACGTGCTATGTAGCGCTCGTCCTAGCCCTTCATTTAACCATTACGAAGAGAAACCATGTAATGGTTAAGAACAGGACAGGTGGTTCGCGCGGAGCTGTGTGGTAACTGGTATATTGTGACACCTAATTTTGTTGCAGGAGGTAAACTACTCTTTTTTACTACATCAGCGCTCATTCCTCCTGCTACTGCTGCACCTATTCCTACATTACTTAAACCTTTAACCGGGGGGGCTAATACTGTATTTTCTACTACTTCTCCTTGACAAGGAAGGCTCTCAAGCCTCAGAATCCTGACCAGGACAATATCAAATGGTCTTATTGTCTGTTGCATGGGCAGGCGCCATGGTAGCATTCCAGGAATTTTGAGGCTGTTGCTTGACCCTTGCCATTTGAAGCTTCAACATGGTCTCCTGAAACTTGGTGCTGCTCAACATTTCTCGCAGTCGTTGGACCCGGACTTTGACTTGGCTCATATCAATATGTTCCAAGTCAGCATTTTCCAGCAGATTGTCAACAACTTCCGTGCTTAGTCCCATGATGAGAGCAAGATAAGGGGGGTTGTCCGGGTTGCTCCCGACAGGAGGAATATCCGGGTGCGTGAGGAATCGCACGGCTCCAGGATAATGCGCGTCAATCAAGTTTGCCATGACGCCTGAAAACTCCTTCTTGGCCCATTTCATCTTCCACTCATCATATACCCTTCCGTATTTCATGGTAATAAGGAGGTGAAGCTGTTGAACAGCCTCTGCATCTTTGGATGGCCAGAGCGCAGAAAGCTTATCCATGGTCGTTTTACCCTGGAGCAATCGCGCAACCTCCAGGGTGTGGTGTAGTGAGAGCATATTAAGCTTGTGCAATGATAGTCCGGTTAATTGATACGTTATAAAACGCCGCGGTGATAGGACCAGCGGATCGATTCCTTCGAGGCCCTTTGACTGTCCCGTGATGTAGGCAATATCGAAAAGACTAGGCAAAGATGGCGGAGTATTAATTAGATGTGTGCTGATCTCGCTTAGCTTCCTGTAGACGTCTCCCGAATCATCTAGTCGGTCTCCGAGAAGCCCAAGATCTCCAATAAAAGTTGTCGTATAGTGGCGAACCATCTCGGGAGATGTAAGCTTGGCGGTAAAGTTTTGATTATATCCGTTGGATAACGCTTCCAGAGAGAGATCGATATTCTGCCTTAGGCGAACTGGTATATCCAGCAATAATTGGCGCTGCGAGCGTATGACCTCAATTGAAGTACGACTTCGAATCTTACTTGCCGCTTGCTGGGCCTCGATCTGGATCTCAGCCTTCTCTTCGGCAGATATGCTAGCGTTCAATAAGGTCCTGCTGCAGCTTGCGTGAACCGCGCCAATTCTCTGTGCGGCTGTAGACAGGACGGCTAGGGACTCGACAGCAAGAGAGCTATTTAATTTATCTCGGAAGCCCTTTTCTGGGTACAAATATCTATCCGAATAGATATATGTGTAAACCTTGTCATCAAGGAGCTTGGCCCAAACGTCATCGCGGGCCTTTTGTAGACTTTCTTGGTCAGGCAGTCGCGGTGGTTTAAACTGGGCTATAATAGCCCGAACGACATGAATAACAATGCCGACAGGAGCAAGTGGACTGAGCAACAGTCCGTCGCCGATAAGACACATGGCTGTATCAATGTCGTCAAAGCTGCCCTTCTCCATGTCGGCCGCCGCATTTACTCCACAGCCAATAAACGGGATAATAGATGTAATAGCCGCAGCTTTGTCGAGCGCTGAGACGTCCTTGATGAAAGACTGGAGGACTCCGGCAACCCACAAGCCACCGCTAATAAACAAAGGAGCAGCTGAACCCAACTTGAGAGGCCTTAGTGCAGGGGATTCCGGTGCAAGCGGCTTATATCCCAGCAGATTTTTGCGTACGCCAGCCAAATCCAGTGACCACGTCGCTTTTGCAAAAGCAGTCAGTTCACGAGCGGCTGCGAGCTCGGCAAACTCCTTTTCCGACACGGATTCGGCTACCTGGGATGCTCGAACCTCCTCTGGACTTGCCATCTGTTCTTTTGGAATGGTAAGCCCTCCCTCTTCACTGGGAGGACTGGTCAGCGGGCTTTCTGCCAAGAGAACTTCATCGTCGGTAAAATAGGAGCGTTCACAGGCGTCTCGCTTGTGAATGGGAGCTAAGCCAGCAGAAATAGTTTGTGTATTTTCGGGAGCCAGACGTTCAATAATATCTCGGGGCAAAGCTGTGCTGCCTTCGCTCGCTGGTTTGCTGTCATATGAAATGGCATCAAACACTCTCTTGCCGATGACTGCCGTGTCGACAATAGGACTTGGACGGCCGCCGAGAACAGCCAGCGTTAGATTGGACGCCGGCGGCGCTGCAACGGCTTCCAATGCGAAAAAGGCAAGGAGCCGATGGGCCTTCATGTTTGTTTCATTCGTAGTCAAAGAAAGAAATGTACTGGTTGACTTGAAGGAGTATAGAAACACAAGTCAAGGGATGTTTACACATTCGTTCTCTTGACCTGCTTATTGTGGGAGGACACTGTGGAATTTTGGCAGCAGGGGGGCTTTATAGTCCCCAGGGTCAGTATTGGCTTGATTTGAAGGCCGACTTCGCGACCAACTGCCGGCACTACTGGTAACGTCGGCATCAATATTCACGAACAGAGTAGAAGTTCTAGTAACAGGGAATATAAATATATGTGAGCAAATATACCCCTACTAATAATTTTCCTTGCCTTGTATGACGTTACTTTTGGCATTGCCAGCCTCACTGACTGACTCGAGGATGCCTGTTTCCCAACCGGCATTCATGCCGACTGACGCCCAACCAACGGACGGGTGGGACGAATGATCGGGCTGTGAGCTAAGCATATTAACTCCTCATGACCTTTTAACGCTATAAAATTGAGCTATAATAGAAAAAGCAATACATCAGAGGTGAAGCTCCACTTCTCAGGGTGGATTATCTTGTTGTATGTAAATATATGCGACAAAGATCCAAGTATGAGGGGTCGAGGTTGGCTCCAGTCTTCCAAAAAGGAGAAATGTGCCCCTAGTGATAATTGCCACCAGAGCTCAGACCTGCAATCAAAACACCTTGCTACGAACCCTTGTATTAGTCTACTAGTTGGTTTTACTTTTAAAAAATTTAAACCAGGGGCCCTCTGATTTACAGTGCTCTAGTATAGACTTGGCTACCTGACTTGAAGTAATTGCACTTGTAGTAAGAAGTATTGACCCTGAAAGTTTCGAGAAGCATAACGATTAAAAAAGAAATACAATACGGCAAGAGATATAGCTACTTTAGTATAAAATAACAATAGAAGTATTAAGGAGTATTAACACAAGAGCTTTAAAGCATGCTACATAAGTTGTAGCACAAAGACACAATCAAATACAAGCAATACTTTATAATTATATTAGGAAAGCATTTGTTGTATTGTCCTGTCTGGAACACTAGTCACAAGTCTAGAAAAGTACACCAGGACGATGAGGTCAAACTCTTATTTTGGGGAATCAGAAACATGTTGATAAGCTATCATTCAGGTGTCTAGGGGCTCGGCTTGGCATCATCAGGCCTCTTAGTAGCCGCCGCACCATTGTGCTTCACCTTCAAGACCATGGACTGAATCTCTCCAAAAGTATCGGCGATCTCTTGAAGATACAAATCCATGTCCTTCATGTCATCTTCAGAGTTGGCTGCGCCAGAACTGGGGTCCTGAGACGAGCCTAGGCTATCCGCAAGTTTAGAAGCCGCCGTTGCAGCAGACGAAGGACCGCCGGCGGCAAGTGCCATTGAGGACATCAAGACTATACGTTATATTAGCTAGTTTGTAGACTTCATTGAGCTTGGACTAGGTGAAACTTATTTGACGCACAAACCAAAATTCCGGTAGCAGCGACGCGAACCATGTTGACTCTGGGTTATTTGGACAGGTGCTCTCGAGTACAATATTGTTGAACCCGGTATATAGGATGAGGCGCCAAAGAGTGTGAAGGGGGGTAAAGAGTTGTCTTGGAGCAATAGGGACAAATGGGTACGTGAGAATAATATTTCACAAGGGCTAAGAGACTTCTGTACTTGGACCATGTAGAAGATGGCATCGGCCACGATTTATAGATGGTACTGACTGCTCAATTGTTTCTAAATTTTTGCTTGTGCATTAAGCACAAGGTGCTAGGATATGAATCCCGCAGAGCGAATGTTACGAACAAGGCCCAAAATGACTAATTGGACCCCTGCCTTTTTTTGTTCCGCCTGAATCAAATGCTGGTTCGTGGTGGTACATAAAATGATAGTAGGTCGCGGTATCCGATGATAGCTCCACTTTAACCCTAACTCTTAACCCTAACCCTTAGACTAACCGTTGACACCGTACGGTGTACCTCATATCATGTCTTCACGACCCTCCCTGGTACGACATGTTTCGTTCTAGTATGCGTTTTTGAACTTTGCCAAGAGTCTAATATGTCAGAGCCCTTCTAGTTTATTCCTCAGAAAGCTCTGCTATTGCGACGCATTACCAAGTATTGTAACCTCAAGTCAGACTATGGACCTAGCTTTAATAAACTGGGGCATGACGAGTCGTGCAGAATATATAATTCTTTAGATTAATAATTAAGCCATGTCTATAGGTACTCCGTAAAGTGGCGTAGCATCCATAGTAATGAGAGTCATGTAGACTTATAGCATAAAGCCAAGACAGAGTAATGCTAGTCCCATCAAAGAGCATACCATGTTAAAATCCACATGATGCTCTAAAGATTCTAATACGTTGACACTATACACGTCTATGATTATATAAACTCTAAACCTTTCACTTGCTATTACGCAAGTTACTATTTGGCCATTTCGCTGTTTCCTATTAGTATCACTGGGCAATATAACCCCCCCTCCCAAATGGTAGGTCTTTACCGAGTTAATACCTCAACGAGCATTATTCTAACTGCACATACCGCAGATGCTTTTCCTTGCCTTCTTGTTGCTACTCAGCGTAGCAGCCGGGGCTAACTATCCCACGGCGCAACCCCGCGAAGTCGCCCAGCTCCCCATGTCAGACAAAAGTCCCCCCAGGTTTCTTCTTCCGTGGCGACTCGCGGCATTATCAGACTGTATTCGAAGAAGGCTTTAAGCCCTACCGCGTCCACTATCTTCTCGATACCTCCGAGGTCAAGTGGGTATCAGTTACACGACGTGCTACCACGGCGATTTCCTATGCCAATGGCCATCATGGAAATGTTGGGCAGGCCGGCGACACAGGCTACGTTTACGTCATCTCACCCGAGGGTTTGCACAATCGCACCGCACACTATCTTCCCAAAATAGACAGGAGCAACGCCTGGAAATTCGAACTGGCAGTCGAGGGAAATATAGACAAGGAAACAATTGTCGGCGCCTACTTTTTTAAAAGTCTGAAATCCGGGAGACCTGTGCTTGTGAAATGGCATGCTAATCCGGGATACAAATATGCAGCAGAAAGCCCGTTTACTCCAAAAGGCACCTCTTGCTGGGCCAGGTCTTGCACGGCTGCAAGCCACTTGATTTCCGCAGTATGTAGTAGTATTAATTGCTTCAGGGCAAGAAACTGCTAGATGGCGAAATAAAGTCGGAGGGTATTATAAATTGACGGCTGTGGACATTGAGCAGTGAAGGAGTAATTCTGACTCGGGAGTACCTAGTTACAGATCAAAGCTCCTTTTCAAATTGGAAGCTGATTTATCTATTTGTTAATAGTAATCAGGCTCCTTGACGAATATTTTACGTCTTTTCCTAGCTCGAGTGAAAATCTAAAAGACGCGGCATGTGGTAATGCCTCTTCAACTCAGAGCGGCCATCTCAAAGATCGCCGTACTGCTTCTTTCTTGGGGTCATAATTAAGACTAAAAGTCAATTACATTCTAAACTCAGTAGTGAGACGTTAGAGATGCTCAGTTGATGGTGTGAGTGCAGACGTGTACTTGGAATTTTCAGCATAGTCCTGCACCATGCGCCTCACATCTCGCACTCTTTTTGGGGCGGGCTGCTTCAACAATGGCCGCGGTCGGAAGCACCAAGTGCATCTCCCGATTCTGTGCGTTTAGAAGCGAGGAAAGCGATGTGGCATTGTGATATCGAAAGTCTGCGTTACTGTTGGCCTGTGAGAAACGCGACCTACTCACGTGGCCGACTGCTATTTTAAGCTTGGTCCCAAGACTGGATCGGTAAGACCGACAAACTGCTTGGCTTTCTCGACATTCCTGAAAGCCTCTATAGGGCTGGTCGTCTACGTAACAGGCGCAGTACGTACCCAGTTAGCATCCTGGACATGACCAACCACCCTGAACAGAAACGCTTGGCTAACATGATACAAGAATTCGCCGATATGGGTTTAGAAGCGCAATCTGTGGTGCCACAAGCAAATGAAGCGGGTTCTAGCAGCTTATTTTGATATCATAGTAAAGACTCACAGCTTTACGTAGAGACAAGTCTCGGGGTCGTAAATGGGCTGTCCATCGATGGTCACTGCTCAATAGAGAACATGGTACGAACCAATCCATATACAACAATGCCACGGCTAACCATACCACAGACTCTCAAGACAACGCCGGGCTGGCAGGGTTCGGCCGTGGCCGCATACAATGTTCTGCTGAAACGTGTCAAATTAAATAACGCGGCGACGTTCCAGTTGTAGTTTAATAGGAATTATGCGGTAGGCAAAGTGACTTGGCTGGGCTACTGCGAAAATGCCCCGCAAGTCCGATAGCTCAGACCATCCTAAACAAACAATTTGTGTCTCTGCAACAAGAGCAAGATTTACCGGACCAACATAATCTGAGAGCTAGCGTGAGTTGCCAGTCATGGTCTGGGTGCGCTTTTTATTAAAGATACTTATGGTGTATAAGCCGAGAGTAGTAGTCAAGAAGCTATCACAGGAAGAGCAAACGACTTGGGCCTCCGTCTCTTGGGATGCTTACCCGCATCACTTATTACCATGTACACGTCACCGCTCTACCCACAAGGTTAATATATAGTAATATTGATAATACTTAAGATATGAAAGACAGATTGTTAGTATTTTTAAAGCCCTATTTATTATATTTATCTCTCTTATATCAATATAAACTTCTACTCCGGATAGTTGTTTCCTTCCACTAACACTAATACAACGCCAAGTACACCATGTCTAGAGCTAACTACTCCACCAAAAAGTCGGAACGTAATAAACCTATAAGAGTAATCTCATACTATGATAAGCTAGATAACAAGAGTCCGTTATATAACATTTTATCCTAGGGGTTAAAAAGTGCCGTGTAGATCCCCCCATCTTGTTGCTCAGCCCTCCACAATTTCCGCGTGATTTGTCATACGCAGTTCCCCGTTTTCACGGCTCTCAAGTACCCGGCGCTCAATGCTCCCAAAGACAATGAGGGCTCGCCTGCGCAGGGCATCTGACATGCCGTTGTTGCCCTGCTCGTAGTCAAACTCCCACCGTCCATCCACCGGCTCAAAGGTCGCTCCAACACCTTCCGCGGCTTTTTTCAGATCTGACTCGGTTTCTCTGTCAGTCAAGCTTGGCAGGGTCATATTTTGAAACAAGTAGGGCAGAATAGACGATTTCCAGTCTCCCCTCCACGGGCTGCGGTGGCTGATGATGACGATGATGACGAGGAAGAGGAACTCCGCGGCAACTTAGATTTCGAGAAAACAGAAGAAGCCCCAGTGAGCCCGGATATATGGCTCTATGAGATGCGTATGGCCCTCTACGTACTCGATGCCGAGACTTTTTGGGTTCCTTCGCCAAGTTGCGCCTATGGATGTCGCAAGACCCTTGGCAAATGCGTCAACTGTAGAAATGTCCAGCCGGCCCCAATTCCAGAGCTTCAGTAGCCACGCATCTCCCCGAGGATGCCCGCGCTCTCCGTAACTCACCGTTGCCCCGCTGAACAATTCGTCGGTGAATGCCTTCATGGTATATACCTCGTGAAAGCCAACCTTAAAGGTGCATTCTGGGCGGTAATAAAGAGGTGGTTCAAGATAAGTGTAATGTTCGTGAAGAGATTCAAGATAGCTGTTGTATGAGCATATGTCCACCGTGTGTGTGTTGGTTTTGTTCTGAGAGGCGCGACAGTCGATCCAGCTGCCATTATAGAATGTGCGATTCACCCCAAGATCGAAGGACTTGGCAGGAAAGTCATAACGTTGCCCGGGATGTAGAAATTGTCGTTTCCGTATGTCTTCATGTTCGGCATATACATGATTTGTCATATTAGCCATATAGGTCTTGACACACGGCGTGAGGCTACATTCAAAGGCGATGGCTGTATATGTCGCACTATCTATCTCATGACTACAGTCATATAGTCCTTGGCATTTGAGAGCCAATATCTGAAAATCAGACAGGCTAATCCTTGGCTTTTCGGGACCTAATATAGCTCTTGTATTTGCAGAGGTGGTCATATTGACCAAATACATCCCGTAATAGTTCTTGAAGGATGGTGATACCGTCGACCCGTAGCCGGGCAAGAGCCATGTCTTATTGTCAAGCTTCAGTACCTGATCGGAAATATCGGAACAAGAATGGCACATGTCGAGTGTGGTAAAAAGAACAGGGAATGAGCAATTTCCTGTGGAGCAAGTAACATCGGTGATGACAGAGCTGTTCGCCGGTGGCGAATAGATGCCTGCGAAGATAGCAGATTGCATATCAGCTGAAATAGAGCGTTCTGACTCATCATTTGGCCCTATTATTGTGCCTCTTACATGGCATACGCGAGGGATATACGCCAAGTTCGGGAGACTTCGCACACACGTAGTAATCGAAACGTATGCTTGAGAGAAAGGATCGATTGCCAGGGAGAGAATGGCAAGAGCAGCACCAAAACTAGCGACAGATCTATTTCACGTTACTCAAGATATCCGTTTGCTATCATGAGAGTCTCAGCACAAGAGAAACTTACGACACGCTCCGCCCACGGAACTGGGTAAAGACAAGTATGGCGGAGCCCAGGCACCACGGCTCGCCTGGTCGTACTTATCCATGTCGGCCAGACCTCGATCCTTCTTTGAGAAGAGAAGCCACTTTATGTGACCCAATCCTGTGTCTTGCGATCAGAATCATGTCCTTGAAAGGCCAGCGACCCACCATACGCACCGCCCGAAATAGGCACAGCCAGCACGCCCTTGAGAATGGCAGTTAGAATTGCCACAACGGTGTTGATAGAGAGAGGAGCCCTCCATTCAGAAAGAGCCTGGTCATTATAGACGCGCAAAAGGGTGGCCATGACTGCCGACCGGATGTGTATACCAGACTTTTTATCATGAGCAGCCGCGTCCAGTTTGTTCGATTCTTTAACCGGCAATTTCGCGGATGAAGACTCTGACTTTGCCTCTCCGTCCACATCTGTGAATCCGTGAAGGTCTACCTGAGAATCTAGTTTTGTATAGATTCCCGCCATTGTGCTGCTGTTTGCCGCGAAAGAAGATGGGTCAAGTGGAAAGTCGAAAACGAATAAAATATTCAAACTCTGGGGGACAACCAGTCTTGTTCAAGTCGTACGACAAGTAGCGTCTCTGGATAGAGATGCAGTGCCCTGCCGAGAAGTAGTATGCCAGAACTGACGTTTCACAGAGACAAGGTAATCATCTCGCTGGTATTGCAAAGAGGCTCTGAGAGTCAAGTAGAAAGCCGGACAGACACCCTCGCCTCATGGTATAAATCCGACGAAAAAGGAGGGGGGAACATGGTAGCCCAAATGCCGCGAGGGATAATGGCCTGGACGGGCCGGGCCGGGTCTGTAACACAAATTGAGGTTGTTCTGCTTTGTAGCACCTCATGGGCAACGGTCGTCAAGTCATCGACCGGTCCATCTATTATTGTCTCTCTTGATTCGAACAACAGAGACAAGGTGGCGCATAAATTGCTCCACACACCATGCAAGAATGCCGGTATTGACTTCCTATGATAGAATCCATAAGTATCTCTCCAGTCCCGCGACGATTCTCCGCCTTGTGGTACTGTTGTTGAAATTGCTTTCGACGAGGCGGCTAACATGGTTGGGCACACAAGAATTTATCGCACTGCGCCCAATATAGCATTGCATAACTATCAGATCCGGCTTTCAGTACCACCGACCTCCTTTTTGGTTCCTTTCCTCGTAACGCGACCAGAACATGGGCATGACGTGTCAGATGTCCTGGATGCTGGCTCGGAACACCCAGTTCTTCTTGTCGTCTACATACCGCTTAATGTTATTGTCCCCGATAGAAGACGAGTATAGGTTCGCTTTACCTCGGCAAATGCTAGTAGAGGGTATAATCATAAATAAGTTTAAAGGAATAATTATTAAGTGAATTAAAAAATAAAAATTAAAAAAAAAGAGCTAAACACAAGATATTTAGTAGCATGAATGTATACCAGACTTTTTATCATGAGCAGCCGCGTCCAGTTTGTTCGATTCTTTAACCGGCAATTTCGCGGATGAAGACTCTGACTTTGCCTCTCCGTCCACATCTGTGAATCCGTGAAGGTCTACCTGAGAATCTAGTTTTGTATAGATTCCCGCCATTGTGCTGCTGTTTGCCGCGAAAGAAGATGGGTCAAGTGGAAAGTCGAAAACGAATAAAATATTCAAACTCTGGGGGACAACCAGTCTTGTTCAAGTCGTACGACAAGTAGCGTCTCTGGATAGAGATGCAGTGCCCTGCCGAGAAGTAGTATGCCAGAACTGACGTTTCACAGAGACAAGGTAATCATCTCGCTGGTATTGCAAAGAGGCTCTGAGAGTCAAGTAGAAAGCCGGACAGACACCCTCGCCTCATGGTATAAATCCGACGAAAAAGGAGGGGGGAACATGGTAGCCCAAATGCCGCGAGGGATAATGGCCTGGACGGGCCGGGCCGGGTCTGTAACACAAATTGAGGTTGTTCTGCTTTGTAGCACCTCATGGGCAACGGTCGTCAAGTCATCGACCGGTCCATCTATTATTGTCTCTCTTGATTCGAACAACAGAGACAAGGTGGCGCATAAATTGCTCCACACACCATGCAAGAATGCCGGTATTGACTTCCTATGATAGAATCCATAAGTATCTCTCCAGTCCCGCGACGATTCTCCGCCTTGTGGTACTGTTGTTGAAATTGCTTTCGACGAGGCGGCTAACATGGTTGGGCACACAAGAATTTATCGCACTGCGCCCAATATAGCATTGCATAACTATCAGATCCGGCTTTCAGTACCACCGACCTCCTTTTTGGTTCCTTTCCTCGTAACGCGACCAGAACATGGGCATGACGTGTCAGATGTCCTGGATGCTGGCTCGGAACACCCAGTTCTTCTTGTCGTCTACATACCGCTTAATGTTATTGTCCCCGATAGAAGACGAGTATAGGTTCGCTTTACCTCGGCAAATGCTAGTAGAGGGTATAATCATAAATAAGTTTAAAGGAATAATTATTAAGTGAATTAAAAAATAAAAATTAAAAAAAAAGAGCTAAACACAAGATATTTAGTAGCATGAAATAATAACTTATAAAATATATATATAAAATTAACAAGTATAAGATTTTAATAAGTAAAAGAAAGGATAAACTTATATAATTTATTAATTTTTATAACGACAAGTAATATAATATACTAGCTGTACCTAGGCTAGAGAACCGTAATAAACCACGTAATACCAGACACTATAAACACATTGCGATGCGTCAGACGCTAGTAAAACATGGCAGGAATAGTAACTAAAAAGAAGGCCAGGGCCGCCGAAAAAGCTACTAAATAACACGTTTTGGTAGTTTATCCTCATCCCGGAGGGATATTAATATATATATATATATAACTAACCAAGCTAAGCCCCGACTAGGGGAGGCAAAAGCAGCAAGGGTACCAAACCCAATCAGTTTAACGTGGAGCCAGGAGGCGGGGCTTGCCCTAAGTTGGTGGTGACATGAGGCCCTGTTATTTGTTGAGGGTGGTCACGTGATAAGGGTTCAGCCTCGCGCGATACCCATAGCATCGCACATTCCCGGCTTATTAGCCTTATTATTAGTTCAGCTAAGATAGTTTAATGTAATTATTATTTCGTTAGTATTAGCCTTACCTCTCTTTACAGGTTATAAGCTCTCTTGCTTTTAGAGTATTATTATAAACCTTTTACTAACTCTTTTTATCTTTATCTTTTATTAATTTAAGTGTTATAAGTAATAATTAAGGTTATAGATCGTTTATTATAGCTTATATATATAACTTACGCGTAAAATACTATAACCGATTAATTATAGTACTATTAAATGATAAGAATCTTAACTTATGTTTTAAATAATTAGCTAAATATATAATACTTAAAGGCCCTTATATAACATTTAATAATATCGTAAACTATATAGTTAAATAACAGCTATTTATTAATACTAGTAATTTAAGTAATAATTAAAATAATAACGATTAGATATTATTAAATATTATATAATATCTTAACGCATATTAAATTTTACTATAAACAAGTATATTAAAGCAAAATTTAGAGACTTTTAAATCTATCTAAGATAACCTATAAGCTTATAAGCGGTTTTAGAAGATCCCGTGCTTTATACGAGTAAACTTTAATAGAATGTTAGCTTTCTCTTTATTAGATAATATTATTATAGTAAATATTAAGGATTTAGTAGATTTAATTAACTATAATAAATAAAAAACTTTTATTAAGCTTATAGCTTATATATTAGGTCTATGAAAGATTATACGTGGTGAAATAAAGCATTTTAAATTATTAAATGCACGTAATAAAAATTATTAATTTACTTTTAATAAATAATAATTTAAATAATAAGTTATTAACTTAAGCCTTATATAATAAGCTTAGTCTTAATATAAAAGCTATAATTTATAACCTTTAAATATAAGAATATATTATCTACGTATAAATCTTAGATAATAAGAGAGTTATTATAGTTAAAATAGCACTAAGAGCTATTAAAGGCCGTCTTATTAGCGTTAAAGAAGTAATTAGCTATATTTATAATATTTAGTTACTAAAAGAGAAACGCGTTATACGTGCTTATAATATACGCTTCTTTAAAGAATAAAGTAAAGAATTTAAAAATAATATATTAAAATAATTTAAGTATAAAGCTAAACTTATTAATCTTAAATTAACTAGTAAAGGAAAACGTATTTATATTATAAGTGTAAATTAAGTTAATAAAATAACTAATACTATAGGAAATAGTAATAAAAGCTAAGCTAACACCGCGTTATTTACTAATATAAGTAATAATAATAAAAATAATAATAATAATAATTGTCTTAAGTAGCTAATATTTTTTACGTTATCTTTAATATTAAGTGAAATAAACGAACGCTTCTTTAACGTAAACGAAGACTTTAATCTCTCTTCTCCCACGCTAAAGGCTTAAATTATTACGAAATAAGAGAAATTTATAATTTATTACTCTTTACGCTTAGGTACTTAACGCGATTATTTTTCTCTTTAAACTAGTAAAAAGAAATAAGCTTATTTTAATAGCTTTAAAGACACACGTTTTTTTTAAATTATTAATTAAATAAATTATTAATTATAAGTAAAATATTTTAAAAACTTAATTTAAGGCTATTAAACGCTATAATTATAATTTCTTTTAGAAATTAACTAAATAAAAAGAAGTTAATAGACTTATTAATTAAGATATATATAAGCTTATTAAAGCTTTAAAAGAAGTAAAAGTGCTCTTAAAGTAATAGGTTTACTAGGTAAAGTATTTAATTAAAGAAGAACCTTACGTAAAAGCTTACTAGGTTATTTAAGGTAATAAAGTAGGTAATATCTTTAATAACTAAAATCTATACGCTATTATAGTATATTTAATATTTATACGAGTATTTTACACTATTATAATCGTATTAAACTTTAAATAGCGTTAATATAATACTATTATAGCGTTTCTTAACTTAAAAGTAAGGTAAAAAATCTATGTTAAATAACCTTAAGACTATAATAATAGTATAGGTAAAGTTTACCTGTTACGTTAAGCTCTTTATAGCCTTCTTATAGCTTTAATATAATAGTTTAAGGATATTAATAATAAATTTAAGAAGCTAGGCTTTAAATAACTTTAAGAGAAACTTTATATCTTTCTTTAATATAATAAAGTACTTATTTTACTTTACGTTAATAATATTATTATTATAGAATTAACCCTCTAAATTATTAATAAAGTTCTTATAGCCTTAAAAGAATATTTTAAAATTAAACGATTAAGTAAGGTTAAATAATTTCTTAGCCTAAAATTTTAACGTAATAAAGGTAATTATACTATTAAGATTTATTAAACCTTTTATATTAAAGAATTACTTTAAAAGTTTAATATTAATATAAAGGCTATAATAAAGTTATTATAGCCTTTTATATATATATTTAATAAGCTTAATACTATAAACTATAATTTAAAATAAATTTATCTTAGCATTTTAAAGTATCTTTAATAATATCTTTAAGGTATATAATTAAATGAAATTATTATAGGTAGCTATAAGTATAATATTAATAATTTAAAGCTTTAAGTGTATATAAACGCCTTCTTTATAAACGATAATCGCAATTATTATTCTATAATTAATTACGTTATATTTTTAATTAAAGGTTCTATTATATAAAAATTAAAAAAGTAAACTATTATTATATTAAGCTTTATAAAGGCTAAATTTATTAATTTAACGCTTATAAATAAAGCTACCCTTTAGATTAATAACCTTATTATTAACCTTAATTATTTATAATTATAACCTTTAATATTATTTACTAATAGTTAAAATGCAAAGATTATAGCGCTTAATAAAAATAATATAACGAGAACTCGTTATATTAATTTACGGTATAAATAGATTATTTAAAGAGTTAAAGAAGAATACTTTAATATTATATAAGTAAATATAAAAGATATATATATTAATAGACTTATAAAGCTACTTAGCCTAGTTAAATATAATTAATTCCGTTAATAACTATAACTTTAATATGTTTAAACGAATAATACATTTTATATGTGAAACTGCAGGTAATAACTATAAATGGAATGAATGAATTAAAGGAAATAATAACGCGAATACCAGATTTTCATGTATGTTAGATATCACAGCTTGGCTGAGGGGAGGTATTAAGGGTGGTCACGTGATAAGGGTTCAGCCTCGCGCGATGCCTATAGCATCGCACATTCCCGGCTTATTAGCCTTATTATTAGTTCGGCCAAGATAGTTTAATGCAATTGCTATTTCGTCAGCCTTGCCTCCCTTCACATAAGGCTCTGTGTGTGAGGCAGAGAGACTTGGAGCTTGCCATTTTGTGGTGGCGACATAACTACTATTGGCACGAACCTGAGCGCTTACTAAGACAATCTGAGGCAACTAACCGCAGAGCCCCAAACTTGCCAGCCAGGCAGCACTCCCTGTCCTGCTGTCGACCATCAGTGCCTGCCTGCTCACCGGTTGGTGCCTGGTACCTGGTACCTGGTTCCTGGTCCCAGCCCTTTTGCTGCCGAAGCACAGGCACGTCGCCGAGGCACGAGGGAGCACTGAGAGAGGAAGACAATCATCCGCTGCACATCAATTAATGTGAGTAGAACTGGCCATAGCCGCTGATTTCTCTGCATCCCGGTTCAATAGTCGCCGGTACTTCCGGTGACCTTGCTGTTACCACCCTTGCTCAAAAAGCCGCCGACTCGCCAAGGCTGCCACCGAACATCTCCGACTACCGTCAGCCCGTGTCCAATTCACCGATCATATAAGACGAGGGGCAAGTGCAAGCTTAAGCTTTTATTTGACAATCTACAGGGAGATTACAAACACCCAAAGTTCCCATTCATCTGCCATGACAAAGTCGCTCATTCGGACGGCCTCCCTGGCTGTCCTTGGCCCGCTGGCCTTGTACACAGTCTTTTGGAGTTTAGCCGTGATACCATTCTTCCAGCGACAGTACGTGGCTTTATCTCACGAATCATGAAACGTCTCAGCTCTGGCTAACTTGTCTTTTAGCTTCCTATACGCGCACAAGTTCAACACACTATTCTGGTCTGACGTGAACGAGCCAGAGAGATGGGGGTTTGCAAGTTGGTTTCGCCAATGGACATGGCACCGCGAACAAGGGTAATTAACCACTTTCACCAGAGCATCAAGTTGCACCCTTTTACTTGAAAACACCCGACGACAACTATCTCTACGCATGGCACGTTTTGCCTCTCCCTCTGTATCATAAGCATGAGGACCAAATCGTGCAAGGGGCGTCATCCGAGACTGTCCCCCTTGACATTACCAGTACAGAATCGTTCCGTTTACTAAAATCGGACCCCAAGGCCAAATTGATTCTGTATTGTAAGCACTTTCTGCTAGGTTTCCAAGTTTACGCGCATTTGTCCTAACATGTTCATAGTTCACGGAGTTTGTTCCCCGTTGCCGAGGCTGAGCTGCGAATCACTTGACCATGCTAACGGATTCCTGTCCTAGAATGCCGGTCACATTGCTCAGATGTTTAGGGCAGACAGCTACCACTCACTAACCGACACGTCATCATATCACGTAGTTGCCATTGACTACCGTGGCTACGGTCATTCCACAGGCGTTCCCAGCGAAGAGGGCCTCATCCAGGACGCAGAGACACTCGTCAATTGGGCCATGAACGTGGCTGGCATTCCGTCTACTAGAATCCTCCTGTTTGGCCACAGCCTGGGGACGGCGGTGACAAGCGGTGTAGCTGAGCGATTTGCCCGCAAGGGCGTTGACTTCGCCGGCCTCGTTCTCGTTGCTGGATTCAGCGATCTCGCCAATTTGCTGACGGGGTACCGCATTAGCGGCGTTTTCCCAGTCATGGGACCGCTTGCAGCCTGGCCCTCTGCCGTCAAGTACCTGCAGACGTACGTTGTGGACAAGTGGCATTCCGCGGATCGACTTGCCAGCATCGTGCGCAACACCAAGAGGAGGCTGCGCCTGGAGCTGATCCATGCCTACAGCGACTGGGACATCCCGTGGCAGCATGAGGACATTCTTTTCCAGGCAGCAGCCAATGCAACAACCAATGGCCTCAACCAAACCGAGTTTGACCAGTTCAAAGAGAGGCACATGGAGCTCAGCCCCGGAGGCGACGGCTTTTCAGTAACTGTAAAGTCTAACCCGGATACTGTTATCAGACAGCAATTGGTTCTTCACGGAGGTAAGTGGTTGAGCGCTGGCAGTGACTGTCTCGGCGGGAGCTGACATGGGCTTAGGCCATAATGAAATCGTAGCTTCTTCGCCCGTGCTGAGAGCAGTAATGAGGTGTTTTGACGAGTAGTAATGAAATAGACAATTTTATACTATATATTGTAAGAGAAATCAGTCTACAAAACCATATAGGTGGTCCCGCGATTCTTCACAACCCTCCAGATACCATGCTTTGGCTCGTGTGCAACCGTCCAGAAGGAGACGAACGCGTCTGCCTGTCGTCCGTACACAGCCGCAAGGCGTCAGCTTATGGATGCAGCCAAGTGGATAATGTCATGATATCCCTGTCGCGAGCATATTGTAGGCGTGTTATCTAGCGAGGGCGACAGACATGTCGACGGCCAAGCTTGGTGACAAGAGGACAAAGATGGAGGAGCGCACTTGGACAAATGCGCAACCCCGCAACCTCCAGACGTCGATTGTTGAACTGAGACCTGCAAACCCCCCCACCATCCCACCATCTAACCCACCAAAAAAGAGCCCCGGCTCGTCTCAACGTTTCAGCTTCAACACCATCACCAGTGGCACCACGTGCAAAGGCGCACCGCTCCCAACATGCCGCCCGAAGAGTCCAAGATGGCCGAGCCCATTGTCGACAAGGGCAAACAAGTCGACCAGGGCGAATCCGAGTCCGAAGATGACGAGCCCGCCGCCGCCACCACGGGCGCCGACACACCGGCAGGGACGTCCACCGGCAGCAAGAAGAAGAAGTCGAAGCGCAAGAAGGCCAAGCAGCTCCTGACGGGCAAATCCGACGAGCAGAAGCAGGCGGACGACGTGAAAAAGGCCATAGGCGGCTTGACGCCTCAGCAAATGAAGGAGCTGGTGTCTCTCAACCCCGGCCTCATGCAAGAGCTCGCGGCTGCGTCTGGCAGCTCGAACCCGTCCCCCGACCAAGTCGCCAGTATGCTCAAGAACATGAACCTCGCCGACATCATGACTGGCCTGGCAGCCAGCGGCAAGAATGCCAAGGACATGGGCGCGTACAAGTTCTGGCAGACGCAGCCCGTGCCCAAGTTTGGCGAGGAGGGGGGCAAGGTTGAGGACGGCCCATTGAAGATTCAAAAGGTCGAGGATATCGACAAGGAGCCACAGCCGCTGGTGGCTGGGTTCGAGTGGGTGACGGTGGATTTGATGGACGACGGAGAAATGAAGGAGGTGTATGAGCTGTTGAACGGGCACTACGTCGAGGATGACGAGGCCATGTTCCGCTTCAACTATATCCCCGAGGTGCTCAGATGGTAAGTCTTGCCCAGGTGTGGCCCCTCAAAGAAAGGAAAGAAAGTAAAAGCTCGAGATATTTCTACGAAATCACCTAACCTGAGACCCAGGGCCATGATGGCGCCGGGCTGGCAGCGCAAATACCACATTGGTGTGCGAGCATCGCAATCCCGCAAGCTGGTGGCCTTCATCTCGGCCATCCCCGTGCACATTCGCGTGCGCGACAAGACCTTCACGTCGTCCGAGGTCAACTTTCTCTGCGTGCACAAGAAGCTCCGCGGCAAGCGCCTCGCGCCGGTCCTCATCAAGGAGGTCACCCGCGTCAGCAACCTGGACGGCGTCTGGCAGGGCCTGTACACGGCCGGCGTCGTGCTGCCCCGGCCCGTGAGCACATGCCGGTACTACCACCGCGCGCTCAACTGGAAGAAGCTGCACGCGTGCGGCTTCAGTCCCCTGCCCGCGGGCAGCAAGCCGGAATACCAGGTGCGCAAGTACGCGCTGCCGGAGACCACGGCCACAAAGGGCCTGCGCGAAATGCAAGACGAGGACGTGGATGCCGTCGTGGGCCTGCTGAAGAGATACCTGGCGCGGTACGACATGGCGCCAGAGTTTACCGCGGAGGAAGCCCGTCACTGGTTCTTGCCCAAGAAGGACTCGAAGCAGGTGATTTGGTCCTATGTAGTCGAGGTACGTGACGAATTTGCCCCCCAAGGCCGAGCTAAGCACCTACGACGCCTCTCAAGTCTGACCATGCATAATCCAGAACAATGGCAAAATCACCGACTTCTTCTCCTTCTTCTGCGTCGAATCCTCCATCATCAAGAACAACGACGTCCTCCGCGTCGCCTACCTCTTCTACTACGCCAGCGAGACCGGCCTCAGCGAGCCGTTTGACAAGCCGTCTCTCAAAACTCGTCTCAACGCGCTCATAAACGACGCCCTGATCCTCGCCAAGAGGGCCAAGCTGGATGTGTTCAACGCGCTGTCGCTCATGGACAATGCGCTGTTCCTGGAGCAGCAAAAGTTTGGCGGAGGCGACGGGCAGCTCCATTACTACCTGTTCAATTATCGGGCCAGCCCGATTTCCGGCGGTGTCGATGCCAAGAATCAGCTGGACGAGGACCATTTGAGTGGCGTTGGGCTGGTGATGCCGTAGGAGTAGGAGTCCCAGTAGCAATAAATGATGTGTGACGATAGCCAAAGAAAGCATTGCCATTCACGAGCATAGGGGACCGCCACCGACCGTGTTTTGTAGGAGTGAAGCAGTCCATGAACGAACTTGGGATGCCTTGTGCGCTACGATAGTCTGGCAAAGTACAAAGTTCCATGCCGTTCTGGTTAAAGGTAGCTGATTTGCAATACATGCTGCTTTTCACAAGCATCCGCTTCCGCGTGGCGCGGAGTCAGATGCGTACTTTGGTACTGTATCCGCCGTTGGAGCGCAATACTGAACCGGTCTGTTTTACCGTGTGTCACCACAATGAAAGTGCGTGCCTCAAACTAGTCCCCCCCGTCTTGAGGCAGAGCACGACTGTCTGCGCGCAGCGAGGCCTCTTGTTTGCCCGACCGAAGAGTCGCGGTGCCGGTCGCTTGTTCCGTATTCATGAACAGACTTGGACCAAGGCTAGTGACGCAGAAGCAGAGTCGGACCACTCACTTGCAAGAGTGGAATGGGGTTTATGAAGCACATGAACGGGTATGTGAGCGCCAATAGACCACGGGATTCGGCGAGCTCCAGTCTATGGCATACATATATTTAGCCACCGAGAAGTATACACGAATATACTGTAATATCTCATCAATTGATGGTATAAAGCGCGATAGCCAGGTACCTGATCTGGTTTAATACTTTTTGCCGCCCACTGTACTGTATATTTACCGAACTCTCGGGGCGATGGGCACAAAGTGGTCCTGGTTGCGAAGATGGAACAGTCGAAGCCCGTTCGTGGGTTAGGTGTGTGAGATCAAAGACGGGCGAGTGTACTCCGTAAAGCACCCTGTGGCTGAACCCCAGACGGCTGCTCACTCGGATGAGGCGTCTGGGGTTCGCACCAACCTTCAACATCCGTCAATGTCGCCAGAAACTCCGTCGGAGCGAAAAACAACAGTCCGCTCCGGCCGCGCGTGCACCAAGACGACATGAAGCCAAACCTGCCATCACGAGCAAAGCAGCCTCACGTCACCAGCGAGAGGCCCCTTACAACGTAAAAACAGTCTCGAGCCAGCAGAGTGTTGCTTCCCCCGAACCCCGCCGTCTCGCCGCCAAAAAAAGGAGAAACCATTACCAAACTCCAAACCTCGGCATCGTCACCGCACCACCGAGACACATTCCCCCCCGTAGAAACCATGGCGGAACCGTACGTCCCATGTCCCACTACCTATTCAAAACTAAGCCAGAGCTGACGAAACCATCCACGCCTCAGAACATACAACTTCCCCTCGGTGGAGGAAACCACCAACCACCCAGCATACAAAGGCACCGTCTGGAAGCTCGAGCCTCACTCATCAGGCCACCTGCCCGTGGGCGAGGGCCGCGGCGGCCCCTTCAACCTCTACTGGGAAGTGCACGGCAACGGCCCAACCAAGCTCATCGTACGTCTCCTCGGTCCAGAACAAGCATGCCGCCACCTAACACCGGGCAGCTCATCATGGGCCTCGCCGGCACAATCACGTCGTGGCAGATCCAGACGCACCACTTCGGCCACCTCCACGGGGACCAGAACTCGGTGCTCGTCCTCGACAACCGCGGCGTCGGGCGGTCCGACAAGCCGCTGGGGCGGTACACGACGAGCGGCATGGCGGCCGACGTGCTCGAGGTGGCCGACCACGTCGGGTGGACGCGGCCGCGGCAGCTCAACGTCGTGGGCATCTCGCTGGGCCCTCGACCGCGTCGCCATGCTGCGGCCCAAGACCGAGGCCCGGGCCATCCGCGACACCGCCCTGGCCATCTTCCCGCCCGCCTTCCTCCGAGCCCCCGACGGCCTGCGAGTCCCCTCGCCCGCGCGCTCGCCCATGTGCGCGCCCGCCGACACCCCGGACGGCGAGTACCCGCGCTTCGGGTCCAACTTCCAGCGCTTCCAGGCGCAGGAGCTGCACAAGCGCCGCAGCCCGGGCGCCTTCACCCTCGCCGGCTTCGCGTGCCAGCTCCTCGCCGCGGCGGGGCACAGCAAGTCGCCCGCGCAGCTGCGCAGCATGGCCGACGCCGTGGGCAGGGAGCGCATCCTGGTGCTGCACGGCACGGCGGACAAGATGCTCGTGGTGAGGAATGGCGAGCGCCTGGCGCGTCTGGTTGAGCCGGGCGTGGTCATGCTGGTTGATGACATGGGCCATGCGCCCATTTTCGAGAGGAGTGTGTGGTTCAACGGCTTCATGGATGAGAGGCTGCGCGCTTGGTCGAAGCTGTGATGGTGGCTTCATCATGTGTGCGTGCGTGCGGTCTGATGACTTTGGGTTGCTTTTTTTTTTTTTTGCTGTTTTATAGAAGCGGTTGGTACAGACTTGAATATGGGCTTTTTATTCATGCACCGGTGTATTACTATGGTACATCTTAAACATTTGGTCGATGGAGGGCTGCTCAGGAGGCCGAGGGAAGGCAAGGGTTGACGCGCGCTTGACGCTTGCGGGAATCTTCAGCCGGCGGTGGTTTCTCCGTCAATGTATATACATGAATATATATACATATATAGGTATCAGAAACTATGTGACTCATTCGTCACGGCAAAAACCACTGCTCATTCACGCATCACCGAGATAACGGCTCTGCATGCGAGCCCATATGTAAACAATCTTCAATCACAGAAGCACAAAAGTCTGTCCGCATGGCCCTTCCAATTACAGCATATCGCGCGCAGCATCTTTGAGTCTATTTTTTTGATAACATGTCTTACGTTATTCACCGCCCTCATCCTGTCCAGCGTAGCTCTATAGCGTCAATGACACCATCACATCCACTACATGTTTTCACTCCCCAGATTGTTTCCCCCGCGAATTCACCAGTCTTTACCTCTCCCCAGCCAATCGTCGGGCCTGCACCTCCCCAAGAGCCTTGGTGCCGCTGAAAAACGCAACAACCGCCACGACACCCATCGCCGGCAGTGTCTGGAACAAGTTCCACGCGCTATAGTACAAAAAGAAGACTCCCTCCATGGCGATGATGGATCCGAAAAAGAGTGCGTGCGAGAGCGGTGCATTGCCAATGGCCTTTGAGGCGTGGCCCAAGTTGCCGCCAAGGCCAATCCACTACAACAGTTAGAACGTAATTACCAAGGGCCAAGAGGAAAAGGAGGCAATACCCCAATGAAGAGAGCGGGCACCGTGGCCAGGACAGCAAGCGAAAACACGAGCGACACAATCTTGGGCGGGTTCTTTGGGTCCGCGCGGAAGATGTGATGGATCTCGGCGAGCTTGCCGTACCGCAGGGGAGCGTCGGGACTGGGAGTAGGATGGCCGGGGTCCAATTTGACAGCGATGTCGAAGACGGGCGTCACGGAGCCCTTTGTCGGCCCCATCGATCCAAGGACGAGGCTGGCTTCGAGGGGAGCGGCCGCGGTGAGAAGCTGGGCGGGGAGGTCCTTGTGGCTCTGTGAGGAGATTAGAATCTTCCGAAACCTTTGCATCAGCACACAGCTTTGCAGCCCCGACGTACAAGTTGAACAACGCCCTTGCCGGACTCCTTCACAGTCAGAGCAAACGGCGCCTCCAGCCCGGAAGCTTCCCTAATTACCAGGAACGCCTGGTGCGGTCTCTTGGCCTTGGATCCCTCCTTGGTAGTCAGCGCTACCTTGAGGGTATCTTGGTGTCCAAAGTTGATTGTCCTCCTAACCCGGTCGGCATCAGAGAATCTGGAAAGGAGGAATAGTCGTCAGTCGTGCGCAATTGAACAGCCGTCTGTCGCTGCCGCGCGCAGCGGTGGGCGCGTAAGGGAAAGAGCTTACTTCTCGACCGTCTTGTCAGATGTCTTGGAACCCACGGAAACGGAAGCATCTGAGAAGGTCCAGTAAGTGGCATGAGCCGCGCCAGCAAGGGCAAGCGCCGTCGAAGCTATAGAGAAGCGCATTGTGTTAGGTGCTGGGTGGTTCGTTTGTCGATGGCAAGCTTCAAGAGGAACAGCTATGTGTGGAGTTTACGGGATGAGGCATACGTGGTTGGAGGTGGGGCCGTGCGAGGACAGTGCGAATTGGCCAAGACGACGTTGGCTTCGTGCAGACGACGCATAGAGTCCAAGGTACAGAGTAGAAGCATTACCGACAACGACCAGACTTTGCACACAATTCCCATCACGATGGTCCTACCCAGTTAGGAGGTCAAACCGTGTGACTGTCAGCAATTGATGTGCCTAATACGATCCCACGTATCTACCTACCTAGGTGCTTTATACGCCTAGCATTGCTCCACAGAGAAACTTATCAGAGAGAGCACTCGGTATTGTGACCAGATACAAGATCCTGATGCCAGAAATGTTAGCCTAGCTCTCTTCGCTAACATTGGCATCAAATGCTGTAACTTATTCCCTCCGAGAGCCCTGCCGGCGGCCGCCTGCGGCGAGCTGTGGCCTGCGGCCGGCTTTGGCGTAAACATTAACGCCCTTTGTGTGAGGTTTATCATGTATTTATTCGTATTTCACCTTTAATTAATCAGACATAATGCTCGGGGACGCTCCCATTATATAATATTAAAAATGGCAAAGCGGGAAGCTTAGCTGCAGCCAGCTCCTTTGTTTGCCTAATCACCTATATAGCCTCAAAAACAAGAGCCATCTCAGGCGTCATCAACCGCAAATGCAACTCTATTAACACAGATCCAGCATTGTACACTAAACCAGCCATCTAAATCTCCATGATACAGTCAAACGCTCAACAAATCCCACCAAAGAAAAAACAAGCACATCGTTGAAAGCCCTCAAACGCCCCCCAACGCCAAAAACACCAAGCCCCCGAATCCTCACAGCTCAGTCCTCTTGCTATGCACGCTCCCCGTAGCACTCGTCTTCCCGGCGCTCGTCGCAGCCGTCGCGTCCAATAGCCCGCCCAGCTCCATAAACTCCACCACAAAGGCCGTGACGATCCTCGCCCAGTCCCGCGTCGTCGGCAGGTCCAAGTGGTCGCCATCGTCGTCAATCTTGTGCCACACGGCCGGGAAGCGGTCGGGGATGATGTGCAGCACATTCACGCCGCGCTGCATAAAGGGGACGTGGTCGTCCTCGATGAAGTTGCGGTAAAACTCGTGCGGCTCCTTGTCCGCGTTCCAGAGGAAGGGCTTGGCGGGCTTCGACTCGAGCAGGTTGAGGGCGCGCATGCGGGCCTCGAGGGCCGCCATGCTCCGGTACGTCCAGTGCGTGGGGAGAAAGTACGAGGGGATGCTGGGGTCCGGCGAGCCGAGGAGGTCGAGGAGGACGAAGAGGGATATGCTCTCGAGCGGGGTGCGGAAGGTCGACAGCGCCGGGTGGAACGTCATCTCCCATTCTTCGGCCAGAGATCTGTAGAGGGAAAGGAAAAGCAGTTAGTATTGGGAGAATCTTTGACACGAAATTATCAAGTCCACGCACCTCGCTCCGTACAACGAGTCCGTAGCGGACCACTGCTTAAAGGCCTCCTCCCCGTCTAGAAACAGTATCTGCACGCCCTGCCGCTCGTCCAGCCCGCCGCTGCCGTCGTCCTCCTTCCACTTCTTGGTCAGGGCGGCGTCGATGCTCCTCGCCACGTGCATCAGCATGGCACACGGCGCGGCGGAATCAATGGCGCCCACGAAGCCCTCGGGCTTGATGAGCGTGTCGAAGTGCGCCACGAGGGTCAACCGCGACACATCGCCGGGATGCGAGCCGGGAGGATCTCGACTGAATATCAAATTGGAAAACGGCACTTTTTTGGTGCCGCTGAGGGGTGTCTCGCATGTCGAGTTCTGCCACGCGAGCTCCCACAATGGCAGCGAGGACTTGAAGAAGTCGACAAAATGTTTCTGGGTCTTGAAGCTGCCCTCTGTGCCGGGCACTCGGGGGATCAATATGGGCGCCAGGAGCTTGCCCGTGTGTATGTCGAAGTCGTCCCCGGGGGAAGGGATGCTGCGCAAGTCTTCGTCAGTGAGGGCCGCGAGGGCGGCAGCAGGAGATGCGCCGAGCACCGCAAGGAGGATGCCGACGAGCATGGTGATTAATGATGGCATGATGGAACCATTTCGCTGGCTGCCGGACCGTGGTGGTAGAGGCAGGCGATGTGCTTGACGCAAGCCTATAAAGTCGTGGGCGTTTCGAGGTGGTGTTTGGTTTTGATGACACTTTGTCACACCAAAAGCTTAACCTTTACGTACGGAGTACTTACACCACATCTCCACTTTTACCCCGAGAACCTAACTTGCAATTGAAAATCTATAAAAAGGGCACTGAGCTAAAAGAGGGAAATGGCCAAAACTGCATCACGCATATTATATAACTCGACGGGTGGCGTTTTGCACAAGTAATCTATTTTATCCTTGCTTTGATTCTCCTCCTCCTCAGCAGTGCTCATGTAGCGAGGAGGCACGCGACACCCTGCGGCCTCGTATAACCCCAGAATTGTCCATCGGCGCCATTGCCGAATCAACATCCCCCATCTGTGTCCATTGAAATATCACCATCCTCGCAACTTGGCAGACGTCGACACACCAAGGGCAAATGCCAATTTATACAACCGTGTTTGACCCAAGACTAATGAGCACAGCAACTAGCCCCGACCATCCTGTTATGCCAAGGAGCACAAAGCCCACAATCATCAGTTGATCATCTAGAATACAAACAAAGGAAAACATTGAATCTTGCAATACCACACCACCTACACCTACTCAAGTATGCATGTCCGCCTCAACGGCTTTTATCACCAAGAAAGAAGAAAAAGAACAACCCCAACAATAAAACGCTGCCTCCATATAAAACTTGAACCCGACGTTAACACTACGGAAATAAACAAACAAACGTCGATCAATATGTAGTAATTCCCTGGTATAAAAACAAAGTTCCTTTGCTCCGAAGCCTGGCCGTCTCCCAATGTAGTACATGTCCCATGCTGATGTGTTTACGTTCTCTTTTCCCCCACGTCTGCCCCCCTTCTTGATCTACGAGTTCTAATCCATGTCGACGTCTCCGCTGGGCGGCGCCACCCCGTCGTCCATCCATTTGCGGAAGTTCTTGTTTTGTTCCTGAACCTCCTCGGGACTCATGTCCTTTGTCCACGATGGGTTGTGCACCATCTTCTCCAGGAGCTTGCTTTCGCGGTGCATGCTGAGGGCCTTGGTAAATTTCTCCCGCCGCTCGCGCTCCTCCTGTGTTCGCGGCGACCGGTCGTAGATGAAGTACTCCGAGGTCCCTGGGCCCCAGACCATCTTGGAGCTCTTAAGGCAGATGCTGGTCGTCAAATTCTCGCTGTATGAGAGTGGCTTAGGTACTTCATCTGAATCTGAGTCGGCATCGCCAGAGGGGAGGTTTCGCGTGAGGACAACTTTTTGCAGCTTGGATCGGGGGATGCCCTCTGTGGGTTCAACTCGGATAAACGACGAGATGTAGTACTGCCACCGCTCACGGACCTGCATTTCGTCCATGTAGAACGTGGTCTCGTCGCGCTGCAGCCACCGCACCGTGGCTTCGGCTTTCTGTGGGAACTGGATCTGCGTGTTAGCAAATGGAAATCCCTGCATTTGAACTCTTCACTTGGCAACGGGCCGCCAACTTACCCAGCAAATAACAAAAATGTCGCCGTCCTTGACACACTTCTCTGCAAACTTCCGTGCCGAGATTTCTGTTTGGTAACTCGTCTCCTCCTTTTCCCGGCTAGTCAGATACTGATGGATAAGATCCGGTGTCTTCTCCTTGGCATCGGTGCTGCTGCAAGTCAGGGCCAGTCGGCACAGTGTCTTCAGGAGATCCTGAATAGTATACAATTTCCATCCATTCTGAAGGTAGTAGTGGCGTAAGACGTCCTGGTAACGGTTCTCGTCAACGTCACCCGTAATGTACTCCTCAATCAACTCCACAGTCTTGGGCCAGTACGTCTCAGGGTCATCCGTCGGCTCAAAAAAGGTCATGTGGTTCTCCGTGAAACCAATATCTCTGGCCGGCTTGGGCCTGTTGAGGCGCTCGACTGCTTGAGCAACAAGCTCTTGGCTCTGCTGAATATCCAACAAGCGGTTGTAAAGGGTCTGGAAAATGTTGAAGAAGACAAAAATGGTCTGGTTACAGAAGAAGTTGTACCAGGGACGGGTAAAGAAGCCATCCGCCTTCAACTCGCCGCCTTCGTCAAGCAGGGCATTATCTCCGCCAACAACAACAGGTTTGGGAATGGTTGGCATCCAGCGCTCGTTCGAGACCTCCGGCACCGCAGCTTCCTCTGGTGCATCAGCCATCTCCTCTTCATTGGCCGAGGTGACGTCGGGAGTGGTCTCCTTGCTACCAGAAGCAGCGCTGTCTTCCTTTTGACTCCTGGGCTTGCTACCGTTGCGCCCGGGGTCCAAAACTCCCCTAAGCAGGTCCCCCTTTTTGCCATTCCGGCGGCTTCGCCCGTTGGTCAATTCAGCAGGCGTAGAATCCTCGACATCGTCTTCGCCGGAATCAGGCTGCATCTTGGGAAGCTTGTCCTGATACATCTCCTCGGGAAGATCAAAGAAGGCCGGGACGAATGTCTCAAAAAAGTCCAAAATTCTCTCCTTCTCTTGTGTGCTGTGCTGTCCATTGTGCATGCTGTATAGCATCATCAAGCGAAGCAGTTCAAGAATAACCTGCTTGTTGCTAAAGTCCCAAACCAGCTGGTGACGCGGGGCCTTGCCCCGGAGGGCACGCTCACGGCGTTGCTCCTCATGCTTGGTCTTGATAACATCCACAAGGTGTTTCGCAGTCAAGTTTCTCTTATCAGTGGACTTGACCAAAATGCCCATGTGGTCCAGACTCTTCAGGTGCATGTTCTCCGTCTGCGCATGCCAAACCTTCTCCCATTCGCGTTGCGAGAAGCGCCACTCTTCATCCTTTTGTCTCATACGGGCCAGCAAGACGGGTACCACGTCAAAGGGATGGCTGTACATGTCATTGACAACGTCAATGCCCCTCTCACCGTAAATCTTCTTGGTAATTCGCTTGAATATTGAAGTGCTCTGGCCAGCAAGGGCGGCAGGCATATGGAAGGCTTCTCTCTCGGCAGGCGACATGGCAAGCATTTGCTGCGCAATGGGTTCCAGAAGTTGAATGCACTTGAGATTAGCCTCAATGTTAAAGTCGTAATCATGGCGCTCTTCTTCGATCCTATGAAGACCCTCCTCAAACTGATTCTTTCGGTGAGCAACGAAGCCAGAATCTTCACTAGCCCAGGTCGGGTGTGAAGCCCACTGGTCATTGAGGACCGAGTTACATAGCTCATCACGACCGCTGCAGGGCTTCAAGCGCTCCCTCTTCGGAAGGAGTCTGTAGCTAGGGCCGTAGCCACGGCAGTTGCTCAGTGATAGTTTCTCCGTGGGAGGCGCAGGCCGATTCTCGATTACAACGTCTTGAGAATTCACGCCAACAAATGTTTTCCAAAATGTCATAAGGTCAGGACTGGCTCCAATGAACAGGGCACCCTTGTGGAAGAGCGTATTCCGGTCAATGATGCCCTGGCTGAAAAGGTTGCACAGCTTCAAGAACTCGTTCATCGACGATCGGTTGCTAAGGAACTTCTTGACTCGCTCAAAGAAGGCAATTTCTTCTTGATTGGACGTGGCAGAGGGGCGAGGAGGATACGGCTCGGGCATGACTGGAGTAAGCGTAGGCTCGATAGTAGATGCGTCTCCAGTAGCCCTGGCATGGCTGAGTTTTGCCCGCTTGCCGGTTCCATTTACAACACTTTGCTGAAGCCTGTTTGTCGCGTTTGTCTCGGGAGGAGCGGTTTCGGCAGCGGCGGCAGCGGCGGCAGCTTGCTTCTCGGCACGGGGTCTCTTCTTGCTGTCCTTGCTGGCGCTGGGAGGCGGAGCAAAACTTCCCAGGGGAGGCATCTTCTGTCCCCCAGGCTGGGGGGTTTGGCTAGAGCCTGTAGGAGCGCCTTCATCCCCACGGCCGGGAGTTGCCTTTGCTTGTCCTGCGGACTCGGGCAAGAATTGTTTGAAGTCCTCGAGCAGGTCCGGCGCGGCGTTAAAGAGAGTGGTAACTTGGGCATAGACATCCTGAATAGGTTTCTGTTCCCGCTGGTAGGTCTGCAGTATTTCGAGAAACTGTTTATAAATCTCTGGCTTGTCTTGGAAGCGGTTCTTAATCTTGTTGACGTAGCTGATGGCGTGGTTAAACTCAACTGGACCACGGCGCTCTATGTTGGCTTGATTGCCGGGACCAGCGCTTGCTCCTCCAGGGCCAGAGGTTGGACCCGGAGTTTGTCTAGCGCCTGGGGCGGCGGCAGCGCCGGATTGTCCCTGAGCGGCCGCATTTCTTTGCGCTGACCCCGGAGCGTCAAAGGCGCCACTTTGAGCAGCGGCCTGGACAAAGAGACTGGCGCCATTTTGCAATGGTGTGCTAAAGTTGGCCTCTGGACTCTCAATGCTATGCTGCGAACGCTGCTGATGCTGCCACTGGGTGCCGCGCTCTGGGAACAGAGGCTGGCTAGCACCAGGACCGCCATGTTCCCCTTGGCCTCGACCAGCAATGGACTGTACCGTGGTGCCCATCGGGGTTGTAACTCTGATTGTATTGGGGTCATTTCCAGCGCCGCATTCAATTCTGTAGCCTGGAGGCAAAAATGTGTTAAAACCTTGAATTAGGTTTGGGTGCCCGGCAAACAGTTCAGAGACTCGATTAATAACTCCCGGTGTGTCAATGCTATTACCACAGGTCAGAAAAGTTCCAAATTTTAGCGCCAGGATGCAAACACATACGCTTGACTCTTGAAATCCTTCATAATGTCCAAGAATCTATTATAAACATCGGGTTGGTCATGGAACTGGACCTTGACTTGGTCCAAATAGGTCAACGCATCCTGGGATTTCACAAAGTTAGCGCTTGATCCGCACAGCCTTCGCAACATAAAGGAAAGCCATATACGAGAAAACTGTGGTAAAGGGCCCATCGCTCCGTATCTTCACCACAGATATCAATCACGCGTTGTCCACCTGCTTGAAACGCTCTGACGAGCTCTTCAGTGGCAGCAAAGCCTGGATGCAATGTG